TGCCAGGCAGACACTTGTGCCCCTGAGCTATTTCCCCAGCCCAGCAACATGTTGTTTTTCACCAACAAACAGGTTAAAGGAAAGGTCACATCTGGAATGCCTAAGGCTAGAGTTGAGGTTAAAGCCCTTTAGATTTATTTGAAGGCTTCAGTGTTTTCTAAAATCCAATTAATCACATCTCTTCCTGTTGTAGGTTTCTTTAGCATATCATAGAGTGGCCTTGCCTTTTCAGCAAATCCAGGTATCCATATCCTACAAAATCCAGCAGCTCCAAGGAGTTTTCTAAGTTTCCTTTTGCAGTCAGGCTATAGAATGGGGCAGATAACATCCTCTCTGGACCTAGGTTACAGAGCCCTTGTTTCAAGTTAAACCCTAAATACCTGACTTTCTGCTTACAGATTTGAGGCTTTTTCTGACAGACCTTATATCCAGTAGCCAGCAGATGGCAGAGGAGGGCTTTAGTTTTGCAACAATCTCCTTTTGTAGGACCCCCCCAGTTAGAATATCGTCTACATGCTGCAGAACCACACAGGTATGTTTTCTGTAGGGAAACCTGGCCAAGTCTGCAGCCAGAGCATCTTCAAACAGGGTGGGAGAATTTTTAAAACCTTGTGGTAAACAAGTTCATGTAAATTGCCTCTTTCATCCTGTGTGAGAGTCCTCTCACTCAAAGGCACATAAAGGTTGGCTGGCAGGGGCCACCTGCAGGCAAAAAAAAAAAAAAAAAAAAGCATCCTTTAAGTCCAAACAGGTAAAGCAGGCAACATCAGGAGGAACCAGGCCCAGGGGAGTGCACAGGCTTGGGACCATTAGATGCAAAGGTACAGTGGCTGCACTGATGGCCCAGAGATTTTGCACCAGGCAATCGTCACAATTTGGTTTCTTTACTGTGAGCAGGGTAGTGTTCCATGGTGACTTAACAGTCTATTAGAATCTCTTCCTGCTTTAATCTGGAAATGTGGGGTAGGATTCCAAGGTGAATTTCTTGTGACATTGGGTATTGTTTAACAGCAACAAGAGAGGCATTGGGTTTGAACTCAGTTATCAGGAGACATAGTTAGTGGCTAGTCCTGGTGGTGAGTCTTTTGCCCCTACATCTGAAAACTTGCTTTTAAAAACCTCAAGATTACAGTCTGTGGGCATCTTTGATTGATATATTCACCATTGTTCATCTCAGGGCACAGTCATTGCCAATACCAAGTCCGGAACAGTGTGCTTTAAATGGGAGAGATGCTGGTTGGTTTTGCGCAAAGGAAATGCTGTCCCCCAGTTTTGAGAGGAAGTCACATCCCAGGAGAGGAATGGGACATTCAGCCATGTACAGAAATTCATGTTGGACAAAATTTCAAACTGTCTCACAAGTTCTGCTCTGGCACAGCTTTTTCTCAGTGGGGGTTCCCATGGCACCAATCACTTGAATCTTCCAGGAGGTCAAAAGAGCAATGTGTCAAGTTACAACATAATGTTCCACCCCACTATCCAACATGAGAGTCTTTGGCTTGCTCCTGATTTTGGCAGTAACTGTGGGCTCTTAGGGGCCCAAATTTAATTTGGCAGATCCCAGTCGGTCCTATGCATCGTCAAAAAGTGGGAACAAGGATTCAGACGGAGAGTGCATGTTCGGATCTCCAGAAGCTTTTGGTCCCTCAAGCAGAGGGATCATTTATTGTTCCAGTATAGCTGTTTACATCGAGCACACTGGTTTGGAGCCAAAGTGTACAGACAACTGCCTGTCTTCATCTGGGGGCCCTGTGGGGCTTTGTGATTGTCCTTTCCCTGCTGGTGAGGTTGATCCACCTGGGGTTTTTCTGGGAGTGTCTTTCTAGAGATCACAACCAAAAGAGCTGTTTCGTGTCATTTATGTTCCCTCTTTTCTTCTGTCTCTCAGTTTACAAAAATTTTATGGGCTATCTGAAACAGCTGGGAGGTGTTCAGCCAGAAAGTCCATCAATTTTCTGAGTTTTCCTGTGGATATCAGGGGCACAAAACTGTGTCACAAAGACTGAATTTATCATCTACTGACTTTCTGGAGCCTCAGGGTCAAATGGGGAATAGATTCAGTATGCTTCACACAATCCTTCATAAAATTTAGCAGGATTTTCATTAGGCTCCTGAGTAACTTCAGCAATGTTGGACATGCTAATAGGCTTTTCCCCTCCCTCTTTTATTCCTGGCAGAAGAACCTTATGATACAGTTTCAAAGCATCAAGACCCTCTGGCTGTATTGAAGTCCAAGTCTGGGCAAGTGGGAGGGAAAACAGTGTTTACCAAGTGACAGGGTCAGCAACAGGGGCTCTAGTCTTTATCCAGATCTGTCCCCTTCATAAACATGAGCACACTCTTCCATACTGAAGAGGCTCTAAAGAATTTGTTGGCAACCTTCCCAGGTGGGTTGATGTGTCCAAAAGATCAAAGTGAAGAGATCCACTATGGCTTGGGGCTTTTCTGGGAAGGGGGGGTGTGTGATGTTTCCAGCTGAGGAGATCAGCTGAGTTGAAAGACTGGTAATATAAAGCAGTTTGCTGATTCAGTCCATTTTTGCTACCAGGATCTCCTCAAAGAGGTGTCTGGAGATGGGCCGAGTGGAGCCAGCGGTTGACAGGACTTGGTCCAGGGAACCTTCAGGAACTAGGCTAAGCCGGGGGCAGCATAGACTGTAGAGACAGAGCAGGCAGCAGGGAGAGAACAGCTTATGCCAGGAGCAGCAGTGCAGGTGATAGGGACGGAGCAGGCTGTGGAGCTGGAAGTGCAGATGGCAGAGGTGGAGCTGATTGCAGCGCAGCGGGTGCTGGTGACAGGGACAGAGCTGACTGTGGCACAGGAAGTCCAGATGGCAGAGATGGAGTTGTGGAGCCTGGCAGAGTGTCTGGCAGCGAAGAAGCTATGGAGGTTCCTATTCTCATCCTAGTCACAGTCCAGGAAGTTTGTATTTGTAATCCCATGGAAGTATTATTGGAATTCTAGTGAATTAATTCCAATCTATCACCTCCAGTGAAATCCATGGTGAGAATAAAGATACTAAGACATATTTATAATTTAATTCTAGACCAGACTCAGGGGCCCACATAACAAAGTTCTCCACCCAAGACCTAACTCAGATTTTACTAATTCGTGAAGAAGAGAGTGGCTAGAGGGTGAGTAACTGTGAGAATGGTGGGAACTACATGAGTACTGTGAGCTGGGCTAGCTAGGAGGCCAGAAAGCACCTCTGCAATACGCAGAGAATAGGATATGCAGAAAGATCAATCTGCAGAACACAGCTGAGGTAGCATTTAATGTTTAGAAGGCTGGTGAACCTTTTCTTTCCTGGGAAGTCATGGCCTCTTGAGGTTTGAACCCAGTTGATAGGCCTAGCGCTCTTTAGCTCTGCCATCCCACTGGGCTCAACCATTCAGAGGGAGACACCCAGGCAGGAAAAGGGCAACTGTTGCCTGGCTTCAACATCACGCATCAGTGCTTTAGCTGGCACTATTTACATTGCTTAGAGAAAGCTGGAGGGGAAAGGAAATATCTTAACAGTTGTGTACATATCAGTACGTGGAGATAGGGCCAGGTTTAGCTAAAGCGGAGGTAATTCCTCTTTATTCAAGGAGAACCATCCAGGTGGTCCTCCACTCTAGATGGTGTCATGTGGGTGGTGCCAGCCCCAGAACCCAGGTGGTGGCTAGTGGCTGGCTGGGAGCTGCTTCTAGGAGCAATGGGGTTTCTGGTAGATTAAGGATATTACCTATATACATACAGCTGCAGCAAATCTTCATCAGGACTTTTGGGCAGGATGGGATAAATCTTTTTAACCTTTTGAGTCTTCATTTGTCTAGGGGATTTGTGCTCTGCTTTTACTACCAAGACAGTTCCTTTCTCCTGGCAAGCACAAGCTGAGAGCCAACGTGGTAGATTTTAACATAAATTCAGTCAGCAGTTGGTATAGAGGAATCAATCCAGGCTGCTTTCAGTGATTTGGTTCCAAATTTGGCAAACAATTTCTACATTCAGAGTGCCCTCTGGCAGCCAAGCAGGACATGGGCATGTCCATTCAGGTTTGTAGAATGAATTGAGGTGTTTTGGTCTCAGATTCACTCCCAAAATCGTGTGTAAAGTCTTTTTTAATTATGCCTTTCAGGGGGGTTCACTTTGGCTAGCACGATACTGAATGGCTCCCTATAGTGAGTGTGGGTAGTGTGCCATTGAACTGAGTCACAATAGACAAAGGATGGGATGTCTTTCTTGGAGAGAAAAATCACATGCTCATCAGCTCTGGTTGCTCCCCTCACAGGAACACTGGTCCATGCAGGCAATAGGTGCACATGTACTCCCATGCCAGATCAGTTCCCAGTACACAGTGGCACTGAGTCAGACCCCCACTACAGAGTTTGAGTCACCTTTTAGCCCATTAGACATGACATATGGAATCAAAGAAATCTGACTCAATCAGGCCCCATAGGTCTTGGCCCCTATCAGGGATCTTCCCTGTGGGGCACAGACAGAACAACCTATTGCTTATGTCATCCATTACAGACACACAATCATTCAGCAGGCGTTCAGACATTAATCCATTCTTGTCCCCAACCCGTAGGACAATGTTTGACTAAACCCAAAACAGAATCTAACTTTCCTGTCTAACACAGGCAAGGCGTGATCAGTGCCTCTTTTGTCCCACACAGAGGACAGAAACAAACAGGCTAACAGGCCAGCTAAGGGATGTCCCTGGGACAATCCTACCTTATATGCAGGCCCAACCTTACTGCATTCCTCATCCTCTTAGAGTCCAAAGAGGTCACTGCTGCCACACAGGGGCTCCTGCTCCTTGACCACTGAGGAGACTCCAACAAAAGAACCAAGGGGCACACCTGCTCATCTGCAAGTCAGACAGCAAGCCCCTGTTGCTCAGCAGGCCTCCACTGTAACCAAAATGGTCAGCGCAGTGTATCCAGGATGAGACCCCAAGAAATGTTGTGGGACACAGAATTAGACCCGACAAAAAAACGTGGCACCAAAGGCACTTGGAAGGCAAACAACTTTATTATGCTAGTGGGTTGGAGGGAATCTCAGTTCCAGATCACCAGCCATGTTTTGGCATAAGGCAGTTACTTATATAGGTTCCCAGAAGGAAGTACCAAAGGAAGATAACAAGATATTCTATAGTTGGTGACATATGTCTTATCATATATTGCTAGGCGAGATTTACTCTATGTAAGCTAATTGGGGTTACTAGTATACAACAAGCAGGAAGTATCAATTATTGTCTGAGACTAAGTTGAGTTGTCCTTGAAATGATAAGTCTTTGGAAACTTGAAAGCAGGCAAAAATATAACAAGATGCACTGTCTAACTAAGTTACACTTATCGTGCAGCTGCCATTGAAATGTCAAGGCTCATTAAGTTTTGTAGCTTTCTAATTATGGAAACAGGCTGTTTCCCAGTCTCATCCTTGACTAGTATTAGGAATATACTAGTATTAGAAATACAAATTTTAGGAGCCAGTGGAAGCCATGAGGGTCCCAAGAAGAGAAATCAAAAGCCAATTTGTCCTTCCCATGAGCCAACTGGCACGTGGGCTGGGAGACAAGAACACCACTGCCCTGGCCCCCCTTAAGCAACCAACTGATTCAGAGGAATGCAGGCTGAGTTGTTAGCAACTGAGATACAAAAATAACTTTATGCTTGTATTGTATGATTGACCTTGCAGGCTCAGAGCCAGTAGTCTGAGCATCTATTCAGAGGAAAACAATATGCAATATAGCAAATATGGAGGATTGCCTTCTGTCTTGATTTGAAATTCAATATTGTTCTCACTGTTTCATTTTGTTCCATTTGATTGTTTTATTTTATTCAATATTCTGTTTTGGTTGGTTTTATTCTGTTCTGTTTTGTTTGATTTTATCTGATGGTATGAGCAGTAATTTTGAAGATAACAAGAGGCATTATGATAGCCATTGTTGATTTCCTATTATCCTCTTTTGAAGTCCTGTATCATTTTTACTGTTTTGTTTTGATTGGCTTTATTCTATTTTATTTTTTTGAGTTTTATTCTTTTTAAAATCAAAAATATTTTAAATGAAATATAAATTTTAAAATTTCCTTTACATTTAACATTGCTCCAACACTTATGTTTCTACTTGGTCCCTGCAGAGACTTACAGTTGGGAATCACCTGCCTCATCTTCAGGCACTGTGATGGTAAGCAGCAGAGGCACAATTTTCCTGAGGATCTGGCCACTTCTTATGCATCCTTAAGTACTCTGAGATTTAGTGTCTGAATCCTGATTTAAGGAGAGGAGTCACCACGGATACTTCCTTAATGATCCTTGATTTCCACTTGGTAATTACTTGGTAGTGCCTTTCCTTTTTTTTTTTTTTTAAAGACAGGGTCTTTCTAGGTAGCTCAGGCTGGCCTTGAACTCACTATATAGCCAAGACTGACCTCAAACTCACAGCAATCCTCTTGTCTCAGCCTCCTGAGTGCCGGGATTATAAGCTTGTGCCACTACACTAGTCATCTTTTCTTTTATTTATTAGTATTACTTTTTTCTGTACTGGGGAAGTTAACCTAGAGCTTTTGTATTTAACTACATTTCTAGAACCCCATGCTCCTTTTAAATTGGAGACAATCTCACTAAGTCACTAAATTGTCCAATCTGGGTTCAGGCCTACAATCCTGCTTCAGGCTCCCAGAGTGCCAAGCTTATGGGCATGGGCCATTACTCCCAGTTCCACTTGATAATTCTTTCCCACCTTGTTAAAACTCTGCTGCCTTTATGTTAGAGTTACCTATTGTGGAATAACAAATTGCTACCAAATGTAGTTGCTTTTAAAAAATCTATTATCTTGCAGAGTCTGAGACAGGGCCCAGATGGCTTGGCTGGGTGGCTCTGGTTCAGGTCTCTCACAAGGTTACAGCCAGGGTATCGGCCAGGGCTGGAGTCACCTGAAGGCTGTAATTCAGGCCTGGAGGACCTGCTTCCAAGATGGTGTCTTCGCATCAGGAAGATGCTACTCACTGGGGGCTGCAGTTTCTCCACCTCACAGAGCTCTCCTCTCTTTGAGGACTGGTTGCGTATCCTCATAACAGGGCAGCAGCCTCTTCTGGAGCGAGTGATCCAGGGACAGCACGAGGAGGAAACTACCACGGTGCCTTTCATGACCCAGGTGCTCACCATCATTTTCATCAGAAGCAAGTTAAGGAGTCATTGCTCATTCGAGGGCAGGGCAGTTAGGCTCTTGGAGAGAGGAGCAATGGTAGACTTAGGGACATATGCCGAGCCCATCACAGCTGTTAAGCAGGATGACTTTTTAAGTTACTTTGTCTAGCTTTTTAAGATATCCTCAAGAATTGATCAGAATCACCCAGTCCAGGTCAGGCATGGTAGTGCACGCCTGTAATCCCAGCACTAGGGAGGCTGAAGGCAGGAAGGTTTCGGAGAGTTTGAAGCCAGCCTGGGGTACAAAGTGAGTTCCCTGAACTGCACAGGGAAATCCCATCTCAAAAAGACCTCCCCACAAAAAATCACCCAGTTCGTCATTACCCGAAGGAAGACTAAGTTTGGGGTTTTTTCCCCCCTAGAAATACACGTTTTTCTGTACTGATTCTTGTACATTATCAATATTCTAGGCTCTTCAGACTTTGGCACTATAATAGAAGATATTCTAGGTGGAAATTCATTATGATTGTTGTTTATTCTTTTCTCCTAGAAAGAGAAGGTATGTATTTAAGATATTTCAAAGAAATATTAAGAAATGTATCCAAGATTATTTGTTTATGGATAGTCACTAATAGTTTTTTTTTTTTGGAGGAGGGGATACTGGGGATGGAATTCATGACCTTGCACTTGCCAGGCAGGCACTTAAACCACTGAGCCAAATCCCCAGCCCCTCCAAGATTATTTGTCATCGTTACTTTTTTTAGTATTTACAATAAATCTTTAAGCTAAAAATATCAAAGCACTGCCGTCGTCATGCTTAAGAATTAAAATAAGCCAATGAAAGCTTAGTAGATATGAAAGTATTCATAAGCAATAGCAATGAGATGATTTGAGGGTAATATAAACTGGTGATTCTTGAGCCACAGCTGTAGCTTAATGGTAGATCCCTTGGCAGGCATGCATAAATCCCCCAGCATCACAAAAACAAAACACTAATGATTTTTCTACAACATTAAAAAAAACATTAAAGGGCTCCATAAACAGAGGTGGGTGGGGCCTCGCAGTTGGCCTGAAGGGCTGGTACAGCTCTCCCACAAGGGACCTCTGCAGGTCTGGTCTTCCGAAGCAGCTGCTGGGCTCAAGGGACTGGGGCGCAGTGGGAGAGACTGCAGAACAGACAGTGAAGCTGGCCTGGGAAGAGGGGTGCAAGAGGGGCAAGAACCAGCTGGGCTAAGGGGCTGCTCTGGAGAGGGACGATAACAGTGACTGGGGCACTCTCCATGCCCATGGCTCAGTAGCAAGTGTTTCCCATTTGTTACAGCACCTAATGGTTGCAGCATTCTGGTGATACTGTTGTTATCATCTCCACTTAACATAGGGTAGGAGTCTTGGCTGAGGTCACAGCAAGAGCCACTCAGTGTTCAGGAGTCATCTGTCCTGTGTGCTAAGCTGCCCCGATCCACCAGGGGGCAGAGGGAGGCCAGGGTTTCACACAGGCCCCATCTGAACTTTCTTTATGGTAGGAGATTTTGCTGATCAGGGTTTGACCCTCTGTTTCTCACGACCCCAGGCTCACCTGAAGGCCAGGATGGTTAGGGACCAGCTCAGGAGGCAGAGCTAATCAAGAGTAGGGTTCAGGGTCAGGATCAGAACCCCATCCTGCCAACAGTTTTGGCCCTAAGCCTGGACCCAGTTTACCCTCCACCCCCTGGGGGAATCCAAGAGGGGTATGGTAGGCATGGGCTCTGAGCCCAGGCTATGAACTCCACAGGCACTGAGCATCCACACAACTCCACTGTGCTGTGCACAGAAAGGACAGAGCTGCCACGTCGTAAGCAAGGCTCATGATGACTGAGTCACCTCTGGGTGGGGGTGTGTCTTCCTGGTGGGCTACTGTGAGAAGTGCAGGCACTGAGCACAGAGGATGTACTCAAGTAGTAGTAGCTGCTTTTATCATGAATAGCCAGGTGCCTAGCAGTGTGCAAGGCAGATGTCTGCTGTGCCTGTTGTCCTGGGAACGGGGGAGCTGAGTCCCACAGCCTGGGAGAGGTGGGGCTGGAGAGTTACAGTGTCCATCCGTCTCAAGAGGGCCCGTCTGCCTGTGGACAGTGAGCGCGCATCTGTGCAGGACATGCTCCTGTGGTTGACTATGAGGTAGGCACCACGATGAATAAGCAGAAATGAAACAGGTGAAAATTGAGGCTGGCCACACACAGCCCATTGAATTCCTGGACCTAGAGCCACAGCATTGAGCCCTGGTACTGGCCAGTCCTGAGGCTGTGGCTATGTCACCTCTGCTTACCCAGGGCTTGCTTATCTTCCAGGCCAAATTACACAGTGGAGGTTAGCGTATACCCTGGAGCGAACCCTGCCCTCAGGGTAGCCTTGGGGGCAGTGTCTGGGAATGGGTGCATCCTGAGTCAGGGCTCCCACAGGAGCAGGAGAATCCTCTAGGAAGGCTCTGCAGGAGCCTTGGGAGCTGTTTCTTGGGGACCCTCATGGAGCCTTTCCTTCCTGTGGAGGATTGGTTAGACCAAGAAGAAGAGTAAGTAGCCTCTGGATTGACCTCCTTTGTGGAACTCTGCAAAAATCCAGATGGGGGTGGATTTTGGCCTGGGGACAAAGGGTCCAAGGCCATTTTTGGGATCATCCTAATAGGCACTGCCCTATTTAGAGGATGGAGGACGGATCTGCACGAGACCACACAGGCAAGATGAGTAGGGTTCAAGGCCACTCCACGCCCAGCCCTCCTTGGCAAAGCTGGGGGCCCTGGAATAGGGCTGTGTCCACTGAGGAAAACAGCTGCTTCTTCTGAGTCACTGTGGGCAACACATGTCTTGGGAGCAGCCTGGACGGCAGTGGTCCCTAAAGCACAGGGTTGGCCTGAGGTCTGATGCCAGCCTGGTGCTCCTGGAATGGACCTGTTCGAAGGGAAGAACCGCACCGAGACATCTCCAGCCCAGGACTGCACCCTGAGACCTTGTACAGGACACAGGAAAGCTCAGTGAGAGGCTCCTCCTCAGGAAGCTGTTTGCCACAGAGACCACCCAACCCTTCCCCCTGCCCCAGAGACCTCCCTGCTTTCCGTTCCCCCAGTTTTTCTCCCAGGCCCTCCAGGTTCACTCCCCTAGGTCCCCCTGGTAAATGTGTCTTGCCAGGGGTTTTTCTTCTTTGTCACAGACCCACATTTTTCTACTTAGTACACTGGACAAATTATTGCTCTAGGGTAAAAACCCTGCTGGGGGGGTCCAGCCCCCAGAGCTGTGAAGCCACCTGACTGGAATGCAGAGGGGAGGGGTGGCAGTGATGAGCAGTTTAGCAAAATCCCTACAGGGTCCCTGGTGGAAATCAGGCTGGAATCCATGCGATGTGTAGTGACACCAGTGTGGAGTGACATTCTGTCTGCGATGCCCACCTGGGACAGCCAGGCAGGTGTTCCAGGTGGGGCACCCTGCCCAGGCTTCTCCAATGCCTCCTGAGGCCATGTAAGGACCTGGCCTGGCCTGGCCTGGCCTGGAGGTCAGGTTCCTCAGCTGTAGAGCTGCAGGGACATGGGGAGGCGGCCAGTGTGGCGGGAGAACTCCTTTGTACCAGGTATTTTCTCAACAGCCCGGCTGGGCTGCCTGCCAGGTGCCAGGGCGCGGCGCTGGCCTCCCGCCACACAAGCAGTTTTGCCGCCAAGTCCTGCACCGGCCTTGCCAGCCCTTTCCCGCGCTTCCCATGCCAGGCCGGCAAAGCAGGAGGCAGGGGCAGACAGAGCAGGCTGCGCTCCAAGCCCACCCAGCCCGCGACTCTGGCAGGGACCCTATGCCTAGACTGGAGAAGGCTGAACTCAAGATTCCTTGTGGCAATTGGCATTTGAAACTGGGTTCTTGAGAGGATACGGCTCAGTGCTAGAGCACAAGCCTGACGTGTGAGGCGCTGGCTTCAAGTCTGAGCACTGCAAAGACAAAAAACACAACAAAAGCCCAACTTCCCCCCAAAACAAATAAAACTGGATTCTTGCCAGGGAATGAGTTAAAATAAATAAATAAACCCTTGCTCAAAAATTGTGACAGGACCGCAACATTAGATATGGGTTCCATTTGGAATTTTTTTGAAACAGGATTTCACCTTGCAATGCAGGCTGGCCTTGAACTCACTACACAGCCCAAGCTGGCCTCAAACTCTGCAGCGCTCTTCCTGCCTCAGACTCCCAAGTGCTGGGATCACAGGTGTATGTACACCACCCGCCCATCCTACATTTAGACGTGAATTCATCTCCACCACTTACTAGCTATGGGACATGGGCAAGTAACCTCCCCTCTCTGGGCCTCATTTCTTCATCTGGAAAATGAGGATACACTGTAGTTACCTCAGAGGAGCAGGGTGAGGTCTTCACGCATTATTACACGAGTGTCCTGCAGTCCTGGACCGCGGTGAGGGCTGTGACTGTGTGCTGAGAATGTTGATCCAGACTCTAGGGTGAACGGAACACAAAGTCGTCCTCCCTCTGTGCTGCTAAAGGCCTCCTCCTGTCAGCTGCCTGTCACTGCCCTGGAATCACCCAGTGGAAATGGGGCCGCCTGTGCCATACTCCACCAGAGACGTTAGTAACTCAAGAGCAGGGCACTGCCAGGCCTCAAGAGGGACGAGAATTGTGATCTTAAAAGCCATAGAGCAGGCAGGCCACTTCCCTCTGTTTCCTATTCCTGTTCCTCTCACACTTCTGCTTCTCTTGTTTCTCTCAGCAGATCTGCAAGGCTGCCCAGCTCTTGGCCAACAGGTCAGGCGGCCACCAGAAATGACTGTGCTGTGAGGCAGGTGTGCCCCTAAGGGTTCCTGTGCTGTGAGTGTGGTCCTGTGTGGCAGTTCTGGGGTGATGGGACTGAGAGGGGGTCTGGAGCCAGGGGATTACCAGGTAGGTCACTGGGGTACAGCCTGAGACAGACTGAAGGGAGAAATAGCTCCCAGGGACCTGCAGAGGGAGTTCTTGCTAGAGTTCTTGTTACACAAGAGCAAGGCTGGCCTCTCCTGGCTGGCTTCCTCACTTGCCCTGTCATCTTTTCTGTGCATGTTCTTGGCACTGGGATATGAACCTCAATTAGGCCTTCACCAGAGCTGAGCAGATGCCACCAAGCAGAAGCCAGTGCCATACTCTAGACAGTGAATGTTTACATTTAAAAAAAATTTTTTTATAGTAAAAAAAAAAAAAGTGCCAGCCAGGCATGGTAGCACACACCTGTAATTCCAGCACTCAGAAGGCTGAGGCAGAAGGATAACCAGAAGTTCAAACCTGGGCTACACAGTGAATTTGGGACCAGCCTGAATCACACTGCAAGACCCTGTCTCGAAAAACCAGGGAAGACACATTGCCATAAACCCCCTCAAAATGCCTGAAATATTCTTCTTGCTTCAAATACCCTGATCACATTATCTTTTTTTAGACATGGTCTCGCTACCTAGTTCAGGGTGGCCTCAAACTTATGGCAACCCTCCTGCCTCAGCCTCCAGATACTGGACTCACAGGCATGCACCACCACGCCCATTTCCGCTTTCAACCTAAGAATGAGCCTCAGAGTGCCCGCCTGGTGTGAGGGGTACAGAGACAGCCCGACTCCCAGGGTGCTGCCCTCCCAGAGGCTCAGTCTGCCAAGTGTAGTCACGCAGAGCAGACTGGCTTCACTGCCCAGTTTTTCCCCGTTCCAGGTGGTAAGGTCAGATTGACGATGCTGAGATCTGCATTGTGAGACAAGGCTTCAGAGATTCCTAAACTGTCAGGAAAAGTGTTTGCAGAAAGTGGCTCTGGTGGGGCAGGCACTGGCGGCCCCACTTCTGCTGGATGATTCAAGGGTAGTGACAGGTAGCTGACAGGAGGAGGCCGTTAGCAGCACAGAGGGAGGACAACAGAGACTGGGCAGGTGGCAACAGCACTGCCCAGAGGCCACGGCTGGTTACAATGTGGCCTGGCTGCCGTCGGGGAGCTGGCCTGCTCCCGGGGGCCCCTCCATGCTGATTTCACTCTTCTTAGCGTTCACTTCCATCTCAGACCACTGGGATCTCATCTAAAATCAACTCCCGTCACTGCTCCCAACCTCCGAGGCGCTGAATTCTGTCCCTGAGAGCAGGGGGCTGCCCTTCCTGGTCCCCTACGTCAGAACCTTGACATCTTGCTTCCTTCAGAACTCTCTGGGTTCTTTTTTTTTTTTTTTTTTTTTTTGTCTTTTTCTTTTTTATCGGTACCGGGGATCGAACTCACGACTGCCTGCTTGCAAGGCAGGCACTTATGCCACTGAGCTAAATCCCCAGCCCCTGGACTCATCTTTTAACGTGTAAATCAGATCACATTTTTCTGTAGACAAATGTACAAACCAAAAATATTCAACTCTTCCTGTTACAATTAGGATAAAAACCCCGGTCCTTACTCTGGTCTCACGAGTTCTCTGAGCTGGCCCCTACCTACTTCTCTGACTGGCGCTTTTTACAAATCTCCCCACTCCCACCACTGGAATCCTCCAGACCCTCTTCACAGCCCAGGCCACCCCGCTGTTGGCACTCCCACACTTGCCCTGCCCCTGCCCCAGCCCCACATCGGGCAATTCAGGCGATGCCACCTTCCTTCCCCTGCGGCCGTCTGCAGCAGGAACGTGTCGCAGCACATACTAGTAACCCTACCTTGTTCCTCAGGCATGTCTTCATAGGACTTACTGACTCCTAATTGTTTACTTGTATATTTTTCTTTTCTCCCTACAAGAAGTTAAGCTCCGTTTAAACTGGTCTTAGTCTGTCTCGCTCTTTGATATTTTCCCAGCAGCAGAATTGAGTCTGGCACGTGGGAGACAATTTAAAAAAAAAAAAAAAAAAAAAGCCACTCCTGATGACTGCCTGGCTCACTTGGCTTCAGTGTTACACCACGAGGCAGCATGGCCCAGCACTTCAGAGCGAGGCTTCCCCACCTCCTACCTGTGCAAACTTGCACACACTATACACATCTTTTCTCTACAGCCCCTGGGTGCAAAACTGGAGGACCTCAGTTCCCCTCCCACGGGGTTGTTGTTTGAATGTGTTCACACACGGAGAGAGCATAAGGGCAGGCGGGAAACACATCTTCACTCCCACTAGCGTTATTAATCAAGAGGACCTTCATTTTCCACTTCTTAAGATTTTTTCAACTTTTATTGTTCTCCCTTCCACAGTTCCTTTTATCTTCTTTCTCCATCTTTCCAGGTTCCTGTGTTCTGGCAGAGCATCTGAAGTTTGCTTGCTTTGCTAGATTCACCTACTGCCTTCACCCCCGCATTCATCACTTGCAGACAGTCAGAACTTACTGCAGCAGGCGGGTCTTTAATCTCCTCCTGATCCTTCCTTATCTCAGATAGTTCTGTGTGCGGGATTGCTGCTTCTAAGTTACCACTTTTTGAACTATCAAAGCATCCATCAAGTATCACCTACTTTTCCTTCTGTTCCTTGCAGTGGGTTTTTTATGTGGAAGTACTTCCAAATCTCCAGATATGTCACCTTCTAAACTATCCAGTTTAGACCGAGGGTAATCGATCATCTTGGTTTGCTCCCTATTCTGTTCTCTATTTTTGAAACAGGGTCTCACTATGTAGCCCAGGCTGGCTTTGAACTCACAATAATCCTCCTGCCTCAGCTTCCTAAGTGGTGGGAATAGAGATATGTACCACCATACCTGGATGGTTTGCTCCTCCTGAGGGTACTCCAGGAACAGGAGCCTTCACTGCCAAAAAACAGGAAAGCCCCAGGCCAGACAAGATGGGGTGGGCAGCTAGCTCACAGGTAGAAATCTTTCACAGAAGGAGGAAACTCTTTCTAGTAGAACCTCTAGCTCCTTCCAGGTGGCATTTCAACATGTGACAATCTCAGAAATAAAGGAAATATCTGGGTTGGATGACGCATGCCTGTAATTCCAGCACTTGGGAGGCTGAGTCTTCAGGAGGATTGACACAACATAAAGGCCAGCCTGGAATACATACTGAGACACATATAATAAATACATAAATAAAATCCTTCGGCCCAAAACCTCCCTCCAGCAAACAGGCCTCTTTCCTTCCTTTCAGAACTTCAAAACAGAGTACTAACTGTCCTCATCTTCTCTCTTCATTCACTCCTGAAACCACAAAATATGACTTTAATTTCTAACCCTTTTGAACCTTAACATTACAATTGATATCCTCACTAAAATCCAAGATACTTTTGTGATTTTTTAGAATCTTGTCTTGTTTGAGACGGATTCTCACTATGTAATCCAGGCTAACCTCTGAGTAGCCCAGGCTGGCATTGTGAACTAGGAGGCCTCCTGCCTCAGCCTCCCAAGTGCTGGGATTACAGTCGCATGCCAACCACACCTTGCTGACAGCTACTTCTCATTCCTTTCTGTCTGTGGCCTCTGTGATTTTTTCCCTGCTAACCACTCCCCTCTCAAAGCTCTTTGAGATGCTATCCATGCTCCTCAATGTTATTATGCCCCCTGCTCTAGTGACCTCATGTCTTTTCAAAGCACCAATCCTGATGATCAAGAGATTCTATCTCTACCCAGAATGCAACCTGCGCTCAACCTGATGATCTAGTTCCTTACCATACTTCCCACCAGACTTCTTTACAAATAGCCCAGTCTCAAAAAGTCCCAAACCAAACTCAGCCTCAGCCCAAACCTGTTCTTCCTCCAGTGTTCACATCTTGGCCAAAGAATGCAGCCCCATCCAGCCAAGTGCTCAGGTTTGCACCCCTCCTCCTCGCCAGCTCTATCCAGTCCTGTCTGTGTAACCTGCCTATACCTTACTTGTCCTCCTGGGCCGTTCTCCAAATCAGACTGATCTCACCATCACACACATCCAACATAGGGATTTTCAGATTAATGGTTTATGGGTACTTGTGACCTGGCTCCTATAGATGTCTCCAGCCTTTTCTCCTAACACCCCGCTTTGCAGCCTGATGACATCCCCCCCCCCAAAAAAAAAAAAAAAAACTTCCCAGACTTCTCTGGAGAAGTCTGGTGAAATCATGTGTGTTCCCTGAACACCCCTATTTTCCCCTGTGCTGAAACAGCACGTAAGATTTGAACCCTCTGAGGATAGACTCTGATCTATAGCAGTGAGAACAGCACTTAGTCTGCTCCATGTCTTATGAGACAGAAACAGATGTTCCTAACTATACAGCTCTTGTTTACTTGATTAGGCTCCCGAGGTCCTTGACTTCAAGTTATTATCAGGTAACTAAAGAAAAAGTTACTTTGTTGGAGGCTCATTCAAAATAGTCAGAATTGCAGCTAGCACTGCATAGTGGAAAGAAGAGCCAGCCTCCCCAGCCAGGGGACCAGGTTCCTTCACAGCTGTGTGACTGCTCCTATGGGTGACTTGCTCAACCTCAGCAGAAGTGTTGTTCCACCTGCTGCTACAAATCTAGCTCAGTGATTCAATGCATTTGAAAACTGACCAAACTGTGTCCAGTGGTGTGTTCCAGTAGTCTCAGCTACTCAGGAGGCCAAGACACAAGAATTCACTGAACCCAACAGTTCAAGGTCAGTCTGGGCAACACAGTGAGATCATCATTCAAGAAAGTGGAAGGGATGGAAGACTGGACTGGAAAGAAAAAAGGGAGAGAGGGAGGGAAGGAGGGTGAGAAAGCAGAGAGGAAAAGGGTAAAAAGATATTTATGTAAAAAACTTGAACAGGTTGGACAGCATTTCCATCTGTCATCAGAAATGCCCATTCCATGCAACTTCATCTCATTGTGCAGATACGGGATATAGGGTCTCGCTATGTAGCCCAGGCTGGTCTCAGACTCACAGTGATCCCCTTGCTTCAGCCTCCTGAATGCTGGAATTACAGGCATGTGCCACCATGCCTCCAAGCATACAGGCATTTTTTTTTTTTTTCTTTTTCTTTTTTATCAGTACTGGGGATTGAACTCACAACCACACACTTGCAAGGCAGGCGCTTACCCCACTAAGCTAAATCCCCAACCCCAATACACGCATTTTTGAATCCACAAGTGACATTTATACAGAAGTCTAATCCCAGGCATGGTGACACACATCTATAATTCCAACTACTTGGATGAGGCAGAGGAATGCAAGTTTGCAACTAGCCTGGCCAATTTAGCAAGAACTTGTCTCAAAATCAAAAATAAAGGGACTGGGGATTTAGCTCAATGGTGTAAGTGCCTGCCTGGCAAGCACAAGATCATGAGTTTGATCCCCAGTACCAAAAAAATTTAAAAAATATATAAAAAGGACTGAGGATGTAGCTTGGCCAGAGTGCACCTGGGTTTGATCCCTAGTACCGGGAAAGATTTAAGGTACATGTTCATATCGAAGTCTAGATCCCTCAAGTTCAATGAGGTTAACGAAGAAGCTTCCACAGGCAAAAGCTATGGGTCTGTGACGTTCCCTGGACACTGGCTTTGAGGGGACTCATTGACCCACTCCTGCTAAGAGCCTGACCCCAGCCTCACAGCTACCCATGCATGGTCCCAGGGCCTCCCAGAGGTGGAGCCTTCCTTCTGCAGGGTGTGGAGGACCACTGGGACAAGTCCCTTTGAAAGAAGAGCAACTATCTCCATTTTGGATAAACTTGGCTCTACCTGCCTGTATTGGTTTGTACGGAGCTGGTTGGGCTATTTCTTTGTTCCTTCAAATTGGCTTTACGCCTTTGAAATTGGGCTAGCTGAGGAGCTGATGTGTAATCTTTGAAGTTCCTGTTTCCCACCCAGTGACTCCCAGAAAAGCATGGTTGAGCCAGCAGGGATGGAGAGCCATGCTCCATGCTGTTGGCTGGGACCAAGCCTCGAGAAAGAGGTTGACTTTCAGGGGAAAAAGATTGTATATCAGAACTGAAGTGCTGACCCCAAAATATTAGATCCTACCTCAGCTGTGTTACACAGATTATTTTCTGAATTTTTTGTCCTCTGCATATTATAGAGGTGATCTCAGGCCTCCTACCCAGCCCGGCTCATGGTGTCATGTATTTCCCACCTCTCTGTCACTCATCCCCCAATGACTCTCCTCAGGGAGAATTAATAAAACCCAGGTTGGGCCCTGGGTCATGGCCTTTGTTCCGGTGACCCACCATTGTGGCTGGACATAGGATCCCTTTGGCTTCTCATAACTGTGTGTGTGTGTGTCTTTATTCTCACCTTGGGTTGCACTGGAAGTGGCAGATTGGAATTAACTTGCTAGAATTCCAGTAACTTCTCCATGGGACTGGAATGGGATCTCTATTGCAGGGAAGTCCTCGGGTTGCCTCTAAAGGCTGTAGTCACAAGACCTGGGCTTCTCTCTTTTATCTCCCTCGTACTGTGAGGCACTACTGTGGACCACTGATGTGTGGCCTTCATGGCACCAATCCCATCCCTGCCCACTTGGAGGAAACTCTCCCCAGTCCTAGTCATGTGTTTCTCCAGGAACCTGCCACGTACTGAGGTGACAGGTTTTCCTGCTAAGAGGGGGACAGCAGAATGCAGCTCAACTTAGTCTTCCCCTAGGACTAAGGTCACTTCAGGGCCACCACTTCGCAGTGGGGGAAAGGTATAAATGCCAAGTGTGGAAGCTTCCATGACCATCTGAGGAAAGTGGGTTCACACGGAGGGAGAAGTGAAGTCGGCATGCAGAGACGGGAAATGGAAGCAGGACAGTGCTGGCAGTGTCTGAGTCCACGATGGCAGTCATTCCCGAGGCCCAGCTGCAGCCGGCTGCCCTTCGGGGGTTAGGGGGGCTCAGATGTCTGACTCTTCCTTCTAGCCTATGAATCAATAAATCCTCCTTTGTACCTAAATTAGTTCAAACTGGCTTCTAGTCTGACGATTGAAATAACATCAACACTCTGTTAATCACTTAAATACTATTAAGTCTGTTTCTTCATTTGTACAAACTACTTCAAAGGTTTTCTGGCGAGACATACGTACCTTTGTAAAAACCCTGCTGAAGGGGGAGAGGGAACAGGAATAGAAGTGATCATATGATACATATATATATGTTCCAATTCCCCAGGCTGAATGTAAATTGTATCGCAACAATGTATCAAAAAAGAGAAGGCTGAGGGTGTGGTTCTCTTGTAATTCTAGCCCTTGGGAGGCTGAGGCAGGAGGATCACTGTGCATTCAAGGCCAGCCTGTACTACATAGTGAGTTCAAGGCCCGTTTGAACTACATAAACTGTCTCGAAACAAAAACTCCCTTCCCCCAAAATACCCAAAACAACAACTAAACAACTTTGCTGAGCTATACATTTGTAAGGAATAATTAAGATACCTGATGATAAAGATGACAGCAGGTACTACGTAGTTTGGAATGAGCTTTAGCTCAGCTCTGCTGCTAGAAAAACAAGTGAGCTGCTTCAGGGTGGGCAGTAAGCCCACAGTGGACACCCACCGTGTGTCTGTCCAGATGCCCTCCCTCCCACCAGCCCCCACAGCCTCCTTCTGGGAATCATTCCACCCCCACTCCAGCCATCTGGTTTCCATAGGAACTACCCCATCCCTTCAAGAATCCATGCCAGCCTGGTTGACAGGCCTCAGGGTAAACACTAGACCCAATGTGGGCTAATGGACCCGTCTTTGGGCTTCCTTCTAAAATTGTGGAAAACACAACATAAAATTTACCATCGTAACCATTTCTAAGTGTGCAGTTAAGCACATGCACACTGTTGCACAACTGATCTTCAGAATTTCACCTTGCTTAAACCAACTCTCATTAAACATCCCCATCCCCCCCAGCAACCATCACATTCTTTGTTTCTATGAAACTGATACTCTACATAAGTGGAACCATGACACACACTTGTCTTTCTGTGGCTGGCTCATTTCATTAGCAGAATGTTCTCCAAGTTCATCCATGTCACAACAGAGGTCAGAATGTCCTCCCTTCCTAAGGATGATTATCCTGTCATAAGTATACACATTTTGTTCATCTATTCATCCCCAGAAGAATGCTTAGGTTACTGCTTCTGCTGCTTGGCTATTGTGAATGCTGCTACTATGAAAATCACAGTGTAAATATATTGCGAGGTCCCACTTTCAGTTCTTTAGACACATATCCAGAAGTGGGTCTGCTAGGTCATACAGCAGTTCTGCTTTTGATTGATTGAGGAACTGCCATTGCATTTTCTACAGCAGTGGCTCCATTTCCCATTCTGACTGGGCACAAGGTCTCATTTCTGCACAATTGCTAGCACCTGTTGTGTTTTTGCTGGTAGCCATTCTAATAGGTGTGAATTGCCCTGAACTTTTGAACTTAGAACCAGAGAAAGCATCAGCACCACCTCCCTCTGGCTGTTGAGGTTGCAGGAGATGACACTGGGTGCTACTGGCAGCACTACCTATGCTGCATACAAAAAGCCAGTCTTCAAAAGAGAGAGGGTCTCCACGGCCTTGGGTTAGACAGTACAAGTTGGCTCTAGGCACTAGATGCTTCCCTGGTTTTGAATCCGATGAAACACCTCAGTGACCAGGTTACATTCCTTGATCGCCTTTTAGAAGTAGTTGGGATCTAGTAATACACACATTTTAAAAAGCCTGTTGGTATAAGCCCAAAGTCCAGCACTCAGCAGGACTGCTACAAATTCAAAGCCAGTCTGGGTTACATAGTGAGTTCAAGGCCAGCCTGGACTACATCGCATGACACTATGTCAGAACAAAAACAAAAATCTTACAGGAATGCCCTTGGAGAAGCCGCATGTAGTCATTAAGAGTGTGGGTCTGGAGTCGGCCCAAATTGGCTTCAAATCCTAATTCAACAGATGCCACAACTTAATGTAGTAATCATTTCATAAAATGTGCATATATCAAATCATTGTTATGTTCCTCAATATATGCATTTGGTCAACTACAACTTGATAAAGCTGGAACAATGTAAAGACTGGTTCAAAATGAAAAACAAAAGCAACACATACGCACACACGAATGCTTATGAACACCTTTCAAAGCCATAGGCCCTTGCAGGTGCCAGTGATAAATCTGAACAATGGACAAAATCCTTGCCCCTTAAGAGCTTTCTAATATCCAGGAAATATTCTGCATGTCTACTCTGTACCAGCCACTGTCAAACTCTCTGGACATACTGGCTCCTTCACCAAGTGGTGATAACACACTGCCTCGTCTGTTTGTTTAAGGAAATCCTGAAAGGTAGGCATGTGCGTCGCATACCATGCCTGATGCCTGCCCAGCAAGCACGCTGAGTGGCCACATCTAGGGAAGCACGCCCCACAGGGTCTGGCCTCAGTGTCTACCAGGCACTGTTTATGTTCCACACTGGTCTCAGAATAGGACTCACATCCTGATAGCATTTATTACCCGAGGCGGCAAGAGACATAATGATCTGTGTGCTGTGGCAAAACGAGAAGGTGCAAGATCCTGGAGCCACCGACTTGTTTCAAATCCTAACTGCTCTACTCAACCGCTCTGCTGTTCTCTCAACAGTAAAACAGCTCATCGTCACAGTGACAGCATTACCTCATAGGCTGCTGGATTTAATGAGTATGTGTCCAAATACTTAAAACAGTGGCTGGCACAAAGTGCTGTGTAAGTACTCACCAATATTACTACTACCGTGATGTATGAATTGTTAAGGCTCACACAAGAAGGAAAAACCAAGCCTCCCGAGAGAATCCCAGGGAGCTTTCTCTAAGCAAAAGACATCATGTTTAGCCTCAAAGGATGTGTAGGAGTTCATTAAGTAAAGAAAGCATTTCTGGTGATGGAAACAATTTGAGCAAGTAAGCTAAAGGAAGAAAGTATGCACATTCTAACCAACCCATGAGCCAAACCTAAGGGCTGAAACCTAGGAGGGGGGCAAGCAAGGGGCAAGGCATTATTTTAGGCCACTGGCAAACCAGTTTATCTTAAGTCTGAGCTTGCTTTGATATGTGCTTTTCAGGAACTGACACCACACCACGAACCAACATTTTAACAGTACTAATACATTTTCTCCAATAAAGTAAATATATCCAATCTGTGCCTCTTATGATGTTCCCTGGAATTTTATACATGAGGAAACCGAGGCTGTTTAAACAATTTTCCAAAGATTGCACAGATAGTGTGCTAGACAGGAGGCTGTTTGGCTGCAAAGACAAATTGTTTCTCCCCCATACAAAGCCATCTGGAGGTAGGCAGTTGGTCATTGGTTGACTTATTCCTTGAGGCCACCAAAACCCTTTCCAGCTGTCCTCCCTACCACCTTCAGGGATTCAGCCCCTGACCCTGCAGCGCACATGCTTATATTTCCCGGAGTGCCTTTTTCAAATGCAGTGGTACTTCAATTCACAAACTTAATGTTGTCCTGGATTCTGGTTGCAAACAGAATTGGAAAAGCACCAAATCAAATTTCCATGTAAGATTGACATTGAGCTTAACTACTGACTTTGATCTGGTTCTCGTCCAACTCGGTTTGCATCCAGAATCATAGAAAGAATCAAGTTCATGAACCAGGGCACCATTCTTGTCTTATAGTCTCACCTAGTAAAGATTTGGTCAAACTTCACTTTTTGAAATATTTCAGAGGTCAGGTCATGTGACCCACTAATTTCACAGATGGGAAAATAGAAACTTGCCTCTGGCAAATATCTAATTAGTCAAAAGAGGTCGGAATACAGTGTTCTTTCCACAATACCAATTTAAGGAAAACAGCAAGTTATCCACCAAATCTGTTCTTCCCTTCTTTCTTGGCACACGCTGCCTCCCATTTCCCGGCTCCTAGGAAGTAGGTGCACAGGCAGATGCTGGGGTGCCACCTCAGGGCCAGGTCTCGGCCTCCTCCTGTGCCCTTTCCCTGCCTGCCCCCTGGGACCAGTGACCCAGCCGGCCTCAAGCATGCAGCGGAGGACAATGCTCCTGAGGGCAGGGAAGCAATATGATACCAAGGACCTGTATCCCTGGATGACCATCTGGAGCAGAGCTGCCCCACTGACCTAACTGCTCTCTCGGAAACGCTGACTCCCCTCAGAGCTGTGAGAGAAGAGAAAGAATGGACTGGCTTGTTTTCTTTTTAAGCCACTGTACTGTTGAGCCTCTTTGTTAGAGCTTAGCTTTTAACCCTAACACAGCCATGTACCTTCCTTTGTACATATTCAGAACAGCTTTACGAATTACCAGCTAGTCAATATTTTAGAGAATGGCCCTCACCGCTTAAGTATGTTTTAATCAAAGAATGAGATTCCACCCCAAGATTACTTTTTTTTTTTTTTGATACTGGGAATTAAATCCAGGGCTTTCACACTGACCTACATCCCCAGCCTTTTTATTTTTATTTTTGTTTCCAGACAAGTTCTAAGTCTCTAAGTTACCCATAATGGGCTCAAACTTGTGAACCTCCAGCCTCAGCCTCCTACAGTGCTGAGCTACCTGGCTCCAAGACTACTTAATGATTGAAGCAGACTACTTTTGTAGAGGCTTATATAGTTTCATGCTTTACTATTTCATGGTGCTGGGAATATAGTCACTGCATTCATAAAAGCTTGCTTTCATGAGTGTGTGTGTGTGTGTGTGTGTGTGTGCACACGCGCGCGCACATGCGTGCGCTGCTGTTGTTGCTAGCATTGAACGTGCTACGTGGTTTCTGCTTTCCCCTTTGCTGAGGACTGAACCCAGGACCTTATGAATACTAAGCAGGTGCTCTATCACTGAGCTACACCATCAACCCTCTGATGGTCTCTGTGTGTGTGTGTGTGTGTGTGTGTGTGTACATACTGAGTTGTTTTAAATACAAAAATCCTTATTGTTGGAGCCAGGGTGTAGCTCAGAGGCACAGTGCCTGTCTGGCAAGCAAGAGGTTCAAAGTTCAATTCCGGTACAAAAAAAACAAACAACAAAAACCACCAACACTTTGTTGTTAAATGTAGAACTGAGGCTAAGAATATAAATAATTACTGAGAGTTAGAAAAGATCAAACCATGTATCTAGACTATAGATCAATCCATGCTTGGACCTATACAAACAAGCAAAATATCTTAAAGACTAAACATCTGGGGCCAGGGATTTAGCTCAGCGGCATTAGCGCCGGCCTTGTAAGCAGGCAGTCCTGAGTTCGATCCCTGGTACCCATAAAAATGAAAAAGACAAAAAAAAAAAAAAAAAAAAAGACTAAACATCGAACTCTCTCTTCAAAGTACTTCTTAATTTCTTAACACCACTTGAACCATAGGAAATACCAAAAGCCTAATCAAGGTTTCTTCTGACAGCTTGAGTGCTGGAATTAATTACCAAAGCCATTTAGGCAGCACCAGTGATGGACTAGAGCCTGGGGCCTGGGTGGAAGGGCTCTGCTCCTCGGGAACTGGCTGAGGCCAGACAGAGCAGACCAGCACTCATCCTCACTGCAGACTGATGAAGAGCCCAGCATTGCTCTCGATGGTCTTTCCTAACTATCGGATGAGATTTACTGTAAGATTCTGTAGTCCAGTGAAGAGAAGGCCTAAGGTCTATCAGGGTTTTGCTGGCTTGCCCTGTGACAAAGACACATCCACATCCGGCCTAATGCGTATAGGAATAGTCTAAGGATTCTTTCATCTCCACACCAATGACAACAAAAGGCAAAAATCTACTTTCCTTCCCTATACTCAGCAGAGCCATTCAGTGGGCCGGAGGCAGAAGGAAGTTCTACGCAGGGCGATGCTGGTGTGCACACCTTTCTAGTGTTCTGTCTCCCCAACCCCTTTGGCAGGCGGTGAGGGAAACCCACCCCACTGAACTGCCAGTGCCTGGGAGCAGGGACACCAGACTCAAAGCAAAGTGCCAAAAACTCAGCCAGCACAAAGTAATGAGCTAGTGAGAATTACTGCTCCGGATTTTTTTTTGTGGTTCCAGGGATTGAACTCACGACCTCACACTTGTCAGGCAGGCACTTATGCCACTGAGCATAGCCCCATACTCCAGATATTTCAGATGAAAGGATTAGGGGCTTTTTGAGGTAAGATTATTAAAACTTGTCTTTCTTGTTTGTCCACTGAGTCTTTTTTAAGCTTTCAAACATATTTTACAACTCGAGTGAGAAGCATTTCAGAGACGAAGCTTCCTGACTACAAACAGCCAGTTTAAAACAGTGCTAACATTTATCAGGTTCACTTCTGTCCCGTGTGGCTGCTGGTTCTCTGTGCTTGTGACTGGGCCTGGGTCTCCCACCAGCTCACAGTCTGTCCCCACCGGCTCTGAGAGGAGATAAGGCATCTGAGTGCTTGGCACCGCACACCTCACAGACAGCACTCATCTCCACACCCAGGGAGCAGATTGGCTTCCCACCCTGCTAGCACTTGGTAAATGGCCTGGGGAAATCAGATCACAGAAAGAATAAGATGGAGTGGATACAATGGTGTTTCTTCTTTGACTAGAGAATAAACGTTCTTGGAAGTGGAACTGGTAAAAGGTGGTCAGGCTCTACAATTCAGCACTGCTAAAAGGTTAACAGGCAGGGAGTGATGGTGCACACCTGTGATCCCAGCATTCTGGCAGAAGGAAGGAGCACCTCAAGTTCAAGGCCAGCCTGAACAACTTAACAAGACCCTGTCACAGAACACAATACAACACAACAAAAGGCAATCTATGTGGTTGAGTAAACATATTTAACAAAAATTGCTTTTTTAAGGTCTAGCAGAAATGATTCCTTCCCTTCTTTCAACCAAAATTCTGCTTTTCTGGCCTCTGATAGTCTTACCTAGCCTGACTGTCTATGTATGCAAAGGAGACTTACAAGCTTCCCGAAAGCAAGAATCACAATTCATCTCTGTATACCCTCTCGTCTAGTTCAGGGCTATCTGTTCAGAATAATATATTCTGAACAAATATATTGAGGCAGGCGTCATTACTCAATGGGCACACTAAGACTGATGAAAAATTTTATAAACAGTGATAATAACTGCACACTACTATGAATATATAATGCTGCCCAACTCTGTATCTAAGGATATTTAGATATTTCCTATTTAGAAATATCCTTGTATTATATATAAATATCTATTTAATATTGAAGGTATCTCAAGTCACTCCAGAAAAAAAAGACTTCAACTGGAAACAACAAATTTCCAATAAAAGATCCTTTCTGGACATCTTCCAGGAATATAAAGTACACAATATATATCAGCTACACAAACATGGTCTATGAAAAATGTCAAGCTGGGGATTTAGCTCAGCGACATAAGCGCCTGCCTTGCGAGCAGGCAGTCACGAGTTCGATCCCTGGTACCGATTAAAAAAAAAAAAAAAAAAAAAAAAAAAGAATGTCAAGACTAAACTATCAAATTGATAACAGTATATTATGTATAAATTAAACAGACATAAATATCTTTTTTTAAGGATGATGGAGGATGTCACAAAGTTTTTCTTTATTTTATCTTTCAATAAAAACATATATATTTCTACCTTAATACAAAGTCAACAGTGATAGCCATTATTATAGGAAATCAACGGATTTCAGTCTTTAGGCTTCAAGTTGCGGGTCACAACTACCTTGATCTGATTTCCTCCTCTGTGGAATTCCAAGAGCAGGCTTGGTTTATTTAATCCTCTGATTGAGGCTGGTCTTTCCTGCCAATCCCTCAAATCCAGAACTCCTGATTTGTGGCTCACAATACTTCGGTCATCTATAAAAGCATCTGGAAATTAGGTATTTTTAGTCAGAGACAAAAAACTTCTTTTATGAGATGTAGTAAGCCCTAGTATTTACCACTAAAAAGATTTTCAGGTTTAACACTGTGCAACCTTGTCTTTTTAAAAAATAGAAACTTTAAGGTTCAAAGAAAAGGAAAAAACCTCAAATGCACTATACCCGACCCAACAGCCACAGGAGTCGAAAGACTTGCTGTTTCCATTGCAGAGAATGTAGGACTTAAGCTTCACTATCAAATAAAAGAAAATGGCAGGGCTTCCTGCACAGTACTCCTCAGCCCACACGGAGGGAGACAGACCGCCTGCTCTGCTGGGCCCCAGAGCCTCTGCAGAGGTCCCTGGAGATGTTTCCTAAATGCTGCTCTTCAGCTCTGGGTCATTCTGTCCCGGGGCTCCGTCCTCTTTAGGTTCAGTATCACAGTCAGGGGAAGTAGTCTGGCTTCCTGTGGTACTGATGGCATCTGAATCCAGTCTTCTTTTCTTCAGTTGGTGCAAGTGGGATTTGGATTTTACATGCGCTGAGAAGACAATGCACACACACATACATATATACACAAAGCCAGCTCATTAGGGTTTTTTAGAATTCATTCTAAAAGTAATTAAATTTATACAATCTTTTTCTTTAATAATAACAAGTCAACATATGTCTTGCTACAGCTGTTTAGCATTTTTAAGGAAAAAGTAAGTTATGGCCAGCTTACTTATTAGCTAGACAGAAATACAGTACATCAAAGTGCACAACAGTCTTGCAGGCCAGTCCATTCTGATCATTGTACACAAAAGGAAACTGAAGTTCAGAAAGGGCTTACAATTTGTCCAAGGTCACACAGCCAAGTAAACTCTTCTGCTTCGAATTAGGACTCCAAAGAGAGAGTCCTCCCCACCTTCCAGAATCAGACCTCTAAGATATCAGATTTCCTATCATAGAACCATTTCAACTCAAGGCTACAATGTTAGAAATTCAAGCCCTCACCTGTGCCTCACCCTGTAAATGTGAGGGCCAGAGCTGCCTCTCCACTTTCTGCCTGGCTTCTCCTGGTCCCACATCCCTGGGCTGTGTCAGCTCAGTGTCTGAAGGACTAATCCACAAGGCCCCCATTTGCCACATACAATGCTCCACAGAGCCAGCAAAGGGCGTGGCCTGTGCCACCTCTTCTGAGGGTCCAGCAGGGGAGCTGGACCCACTGCTCTCTAGTTGCTAACCTCTTATCCAAGACCATTCTCACCCCCCTGTCTCACTTATACAGGCTTTTTTACTATCCTGCTCCTTTTCAAGAAAATCTCATCTGGGAATACCAAAAGAGAGAAACGACTAGATTAAAGTATTTTATACACATGAAAAACATTTGTATTTTTAGAAGCGAGTATAAGTAAGGAAGAGGTTAGACGTCAAAGAACTGTACTAGTAGAAAAGTCAGCTTTGTTTTCCACTGAGAGCCTAAGGCAAAAGCTGGGCCCTGGCCTGACTCTCCATGGCAGCAGGAGATGGGAGCAAGGACTTGACAGATGGCACTATAGAAGGGCTCACACAGCTAAGCTCACAAAGGCTCACAAATGTTGTTTCTCTAAGGCTCTCTCTGAAGACATTCGACAAATTGAACCACTAAGTTTCCTTTACAAAACAATCAGACACTCTTTCTCTTCCCCTTTCATCATTATGAAGCAATGACAATCGAGGCTTCTTCTGCTGCTTAGGCAATCACGGCCGTCCCCAGACTCTGACAATGGAGTTCATTTTGCCAGTTACCAGTTAACAGACTTAATCATTCTATTGGCTGATATGGAAAGAAAATATACTTCTCTGAGAATCTGAGCAAAGGAGGACTCTAAAGAGAAGGATTCCAGCCACTGGGTAAACCATGAGCCCCACCACCACTTCGGCAAATTACCTTGAAAATACTGACTTGACTCTGTATCTTTCCTGTAGAAAAGAATGTGCTGGAGGAAGAAATGTATTTCCTGCTTCCCCTCATCCCTGCTTCTACTTCCATCTGTTGGATGAGCTACCTTGATTCCTTTATAATCCTGTAACACCCCATCCTGACTAAATTCTAAACATGAAAGCCCAAAAGCTCCTAGGTGGGATTATGAAGTCAAAAGAGGCCTAGAAAGTTGACTACCGACCTCTTGGAATTCAGTGTCTGTCTCAGCTGGACCTGGAGGGCATATAACCTTCCTTTGCATTTCAGAATACAGAGACAACTCCCATTTCCTTGGGAAGCCTACAGATTCAGGAATCTAGCTGTCCCTTTACAAATAAGCAGGCCCCAGTGTTTATCCTGACAAAGACCTCAAGTTTCAACAAGTTAGTGTGACCCCACCCTTGTGGATTTCTCTGAGTCCTTCCCCGGGCTCTACCTGCCCATTCTCTGTCCCCAATGATGATTCGATCACAGACGTCACACATATGGTAACTTCGCTTGTTCTCAGTTTCATTGTGTGGCATTTTCACCGGAGTTGCTGCAGGCTTGTGGCCCTAGAAGAACAAGGTGAGGCACAAGGACATTCTAGTCAAAGAAACTATACGTAATTCTTTGGTGTTCGGGGGAGGTAGGATTTCCCCAATTCTTCTTTTACATCCCAGGGAACAGGTGGGCTGTGAAGAGAATTTTGCAAGAGCCTTTCTAAAGGTGAAAGTAGAAACACAGCTTCCAGGGATTAAAAACAAGAGTAGCCAGCCTTTCTCCTTTATCCCATGGCAAAGAACGCTGGTTCCCCAACACAGCAAAAAAGTATCAGTGAAGGAAAGTGCTCCAAAAAACTAGACAATGAAATGTACCATGACTACTCATTACCTGGATGAAGCTGTGCACGATATCAAGGGCAGGGTCAAGAACAGACTCTTTCCACTTCGAGACATCAGACACTTCTAAGCCGTATACTGCGGGGGCCCTGGGACCAGGTCCTGACGATAAGAAAGAAAAGATGCACGAGGTCAGTCTCCAAGACTCAATCAGCTCCAGTCACAGTACTGTAAGACTCTCAAGGGGACACACATTGCCAAAAGAATAAACATTCTGACCACCCTAGTCATTCTACCACAAACACGAACCACAACCCAAGGAAGACCTAAAGGCCGATGTCTACAGCCAATAAGCCTGGCCATATAACCAGAGGCTAAGATGTAGAGTCGCTCAGGTCGGGAAACTAAAATGAGGTTAAAACATAAAGACAGCACATCACAGAAATAAACTAACAGCTCTAAGTGCCTGCTATGGCATCTTACTGTTGCAGGCACTCTGTGACAAGAGTTTACAGCTCTTTAGGAGTCTTTAGTGTCTTTAGGAGTAGACACTAGTTTCAAGTTTACATGTATCCCTCCAGCAGCACAGTAGTCCTAAAACTCCTTGGCAGTGCACTGGTACCCATGGGCTGGGAACAACAATATCAGCCAATGAGCTGTTGAGTCTGAGAACTAAAAAAAAGTCTTACAATTAATCTTGCTGAATCCCTTCTTTTAAAAACCAGATCTAGTTAGGTGTGGTGGCACATGCTTGTAATCCAAGCAGCCAGGAGGCTGAAGCAGGAGGGTCATCATGAACTTGAAAGTTGGCCTGGGCTACACAGTGAATTCAAGGCCAGCTTGGATACTGAGAGAGATCTTGTCTTTAAAAAAAAAAAAGAAGAAGAAGAAGAAGAAGTAAACTAAAAGTCAGATCTAGACAAGTATTCAAGAAACACCCTTGGATACTACTTATGAAACTATATACATTTAACCTATTTGAGCCAAGCATGTTGCAAGAGCTTAGTCTCTACTGATAGCTTCTTCAGTCTACACAGTAAAATACCTTCCACAGCTAGAGAAGACGACTGCCTAAGGCAAAGAGCCTCGTTTTACGGACAAAAAAACATCAAAGGCATCAGGATGCCAACGGCTGGCAGGTGCTGGCCTTTCGATTGTGCCAACCACAAATAAGATTCTTCATAAACTGGACTGGGCTACACCTGCCACCACACGGAAAGGTGAGACTGGGAGGGTGCAGGCGACATCCACAGCACACCTGGCCTTGGCTAAGCTCTGCACCTGTTTCCAGGCCACTCTACATTTTCCTTTCTCTTCTGAGTCCTTTGTTAGACTTCTGTGCCCTGTCTAAGCACCTTTCAACAAGTTCTCGGCTCCCAGCTGCTATTTCTGGCTTGGGTCCAAGGCCAAGCTGGGGTGGGGAAGTCCCTTTGGCTCCCTGCCAGAACGATATCCCAGCAGACTATCCCTGGCCAATCACACGTGGCTCCTGACTTAAAGGGCAGCTGTGCCTTTCTCTCTAGCACCAGGACTTTGCCAGCACACACGAAGGAGGAACAGGCATATGACACTCTGTGCCATCAACCTTGCCCACCTCAGAGATAGGGGGAGTTACTGTGACTTTACCACAGGAAGAAGTTCCAACTTGTTATCAAAAAGACTTTTGTTACAGACATATTGTTTGACTTGGGAAGAAAGACCGCATTTAAAATTTGCAATACTGAACCTCAACTTCAGCTGATGCCAAGACCTCCCCTCAATTTATCAGGACACACAGGAAAAGAACGACAAGCAGAAGAAAGCAATGCAAGAGCCAACAATACAGATCAAGGTGGGCATCTGCAGAGGTATCAGGGAGCAGCACTGGAGGCTTGAGCTGGCCTCACATGTGATGAAAAGCAGAAGTTTGCAGGCAAGATCTAAATGTGGGGTGATCCTGAGGCTCACTTATTTAGTTAGTCTGCTTTTTGTTTTTGAGAGAGGGTCTTACTATGCAATTCTGGCTAATCTTGAATTCACTTTGTGGCCCAGGCTGACCTCACTGAATTCACAGTGATCCCCCTGCCTCAGTCTCCTGCACGCTGGGATTACATGTATGGGCCATCATGCCCCCTACAGCATATTATAAAAGTGTCCATAAAATAAACCTGAGGCTGGGCATGGGGTTATCCCAGCATTCAGCAGGATCGCTTTGAGTTCAAGGGCAACCTGGGCTACAAAAGAAGTTCAAACCCAGCCTATACTACACAGGGAAATTCTATCAAGAAAGGAAGGAAGGAAGGAAGGAAAAGACAAGACAAACCGAAAGACCGACCTTGAATTTCACTTAAACTCCTTTTAGCCAAGTATGTAATTTCTTACCTGAGGCCCAATATTGATGCTATCTATCCAAAAGTATAAGCTATAAGCAGTACGAAGAGTGTAGCTACTGGAGTAGGCCTGCATTCAATCTCCACCACCTAACTAGCCGGTGAGAGGAGGACAAGTTACTTAGTTTCAGCAAGCCTTTATTTTCTTATCTGTAAAAAAGAAACAAAAACCCCTACAATTTGAGGCTCAATGATGTACCTATAGTACTAAATTCAAAGCCAAATACACACAGGACAGCGTCAGTGAGAATTTCTTTCCTTTCCTCTTAAAAGTTCTGTTTAACTAAAGTTTAACTGAAGCAATTAAACTACAATGTACCTCATCACAAGGAAGTGCTGGGAGAAGAGTGAAGGCTTTATCTTTTTATACTAATCATATGACCTAAGAACCATTTTAATTAGGACAATCCTAATTGTTCTTTATTTATTTGTTTGTTGCACTACTAGGGATGATGCAAGGCCTTCACCCTGAGCTACATCCCTAGCCAATCTATCTAGCTATCTATTTATCTATTTATTTAGAGACAGAACTTTGCAAAGTCACTAAGTTGCCTGGGCCAGGCTTGAACTTGCCATCCTCCTCCCTCAGCCTCCTCAGATGCTGGGATTACAGGTGTGCACACCATACAGAACTTTGTTTTCCATACAAAACGGAAGCTCTGAATACCAATGCTGCTAAGATGCTGCTGATTTACCCTAACCTATCGGCAGTCAGTACCATGCTTTCAAAGCATAAGGCAGACTTGTCACTGGAAACTTACTTTTTTTCCCTGAGCCCTCACACGAAATCCTCCTGAACAATCATTTATGCCACAGAACCTACCCCTAGGACAGGTCCTAGATTGTCAAAGCAGACACTAAACTCTTAGTCCAAAACCTAAAGTTTATTTCCTGAGTCGGCAGAGGGCATCTATAGCCTATCACATAAAGGGGTCCAGGGGATAAGGATAATCAGGAGACTTACTGCTCAAAAAACGGTTTTTAACCCATCGGTTTTGCTTCCGGGCATATCTCTTAGTTACCTGTTTCAGAGATTCAATACCTGAAAGAGAGAAACATCCAGGGAAGCACTTCTTTCACTGCCAAGACTCACGCCCTCCCAGCCCAGCAGACGAGAAAAACGGCACAATGTTTGATTTGGTGGACGACAATCTCAATTCTGAGCTGAAGGCCCTTTGGGGCTCTTTTAGCCTCAGCTTTTGCTTGGACTGTACCAGCAGGGTACTCTGGCACCCAAGGATGTGATGTCCAAGACCAGGTTAGACAGAGAAAGTCACACCTTTCTTTAGAAGCTGGTTACTAGTCTCTGGCGTGCATTTTCCCTCAGTGACCAGGTACTCGTGAAATTCCTTGAAGCCAATTGACTGGAAGATACCATGTTGATAGTCCTGGCTGGAAACAGGAGAGCACCAGCAGATGAACCATTGCCTCTGAAAGCTTGCAGCAGCCTCGGAGATTATCCAGTTGAGTCATTTCATTGCATAGATGAGGAAGTTGGGATCCTGAGTCATTATGACTGAAATTCTCCCCTACCCTCCCCACCAGCTCTTGGAAATGTCTGAAAGACTAGAAAATAGCAACTGTACCAAACACACTAAACCTCCTTCCAACAAGTCCTGCCAGTGCCAAGGACAAAGCTAATAAATAAGTAGATGAAAGTCAATATTATTATATGTCATTTGTCTTTCAACCATAGGTAAGGAATAGAGAATAAATCAGAGTAATAGCCAAATCCTCACCTATTTTTTGAAGAGTTCTTCTGATTATAGCGTCTGTGAAAATCTCTTAGTTCTTCTAAGAGACCAGCAGCAAGCATGTCATCCACTCGCTTATCCAAGCGCTCGTCTAAAACTTGAATCAAATCAGCCAGTGAGCCAGCAACAACACATCGCAAGCACCTACCACACGCTTACATGGGGGGGGGGGGTGAACAGGCTGCCTCAATTAGAATTTGTTCAAACAGAAGGATACTGATTTCAAAAATTATGCATTGACTCTTTATATTTATTCAAATGTCAGACTCTGAAACTTTAAATTAAAACAGCTGGAATGAAGCACAACCCTTCTCATTACATAAAGTAAAAACATACAATTATGGCTAATATGAAAGATAATTTTTTTTGTACTGGGAATCAAACTCAGGACCTTACACTTGCCAGATAGGTGCTATGATGCTGAGCTGTATCTCTGGCCTGAAAGATATTTTATCCTCATATGGAATGTACATTCACTATGTAAAGGGGTGGGTGAGAATTCCCTGATTTACCTTTAACTTTTGTCATTACATTTGTTATTCTAACTTTGTGTTATTTTTCACTTAAGGACCCCTGGATGGTAAGCTGGACAGCAATAAGGAACTTGAAACCAAAGCCATCCTATGCATATCTTTTTTGTTCTTTTTTTTTTTCTTTTTGAAACAGGGTCTCACTTTGTAGTTCAGGTTGGCTTTGAACTCACTAGCCCAGGCTAGCCTCAAACTTGCCACAATCCTCCTACCTCGCCTCCCAAGAAATCACACCTGGCTAGTAACTGTTTTTTTCCCTAAAACATGCATTTATTGAAGACTCACCACATGTCAAGCACATTCTGAGTATTGCATAGGCAATTATTTACTGACTCTTTAATCAAGGCCTTCTGCATGTCAGTCAAGTGCTTTACCACTGAGCTATGCCCTCAGCTCCACAACTCTGTATTATTTCATCTGATCCTGTACAGTGTATACTATTATTTATTATTATTATCATCTCTATCTAACAGTTGGGTTACAGAAAGATAAACTAAGATACAGGAGTAAGACTCTGAAATGAGGAGCTAGGATTTAGCTCAGTGGCATAAGCACCTGCCTTGCAAGCAGGCAGTCATGAGTTCGATCCCCGGTACTGATAAAAAAGAAAAAGACTCTGAAATGAGACAGTGTGCCTCAGAGACTGATACTTCTCACTACATAAGCCTGCCCCGCACAGTTATCTCACCTTTCCAGTCCTAACTCATGGGTTACCAGTGCAAACTCCCTCCAGAGAGGCCCCATAGCCCTTTCAAATTAGCCCAGCGTTTATCACAGAGCAGGCAGTATCCAGCCCCTGTCTGTCACCCCACTGACCAGCACGTCCTTAAGCGCAGGCATCTCTTATTCATTTCTGAAACTCAGAAACTACACTGACTGCTCAGTACTTCCTTGAATGCTTGCAGAGTGTCTGCTGGATGAATAAGCTCTACTGTCACAAGCATTAGTAGACTGCAGGGACATTAATCCTCATCCTCCTTCTCAGGACTGTTGCTTCTAGAATAATCAATGACCCAGACTCCAGCCAAGCCTGAAGTCAGAATCCTCCCACTGGAACCCTTCCTTGTCTTTCTCCTCCAGTCATTCCCTGGACAGCAGTCTTTCCTGTCCTACTATCCCATGCTACCCCACCCCTGGTATCTCATCCTATAGCTAGTAACCTTCCTCCCTTTCCAAGCAGACATCAGAAGAATGGCACTGCATCCGAGTCAGTGAATAATGGCGATTATAGACTTAATAGCTAACCTACATTAGGGCTCACTATAAACCTGCCGTGCTTCAAAGCATTTTATACTCGGTAACTAACTGCTCTCTAAGTTCTACCTCACATGGATTCTGGGACACTAAAGGGTTTTTACCTGTCTGGTCAGCATGCAGCCAGAGGATGCAAGGGTTGGGGAACTTCAGCGGACCACCAAGGGGACTGCCACCTTCCTCTGAATGTTGACGATGAAGAAATTCACTATGAGAGATTCCCGTTTCTTCAAACACTTGTAAGCTCCTTAGTTGTTTTAAAGGGGGTGAGGAACCCAATACATATCATTAGGAAACATTCATTCTCATTTGAGATGAGAAGAAAAGTTGTAGATTACAGAAAGTCTCTTTGTCATTTAACTAAGTGCTCTCTGCTCCAAAAGAAGGTGTTGGGTTATTTTAAGATGTGGGTCACTTTCTGGGTGAAGTGAAAAATAATAATATTATTCAAGAGATATCAGTTAAATAGGTTCAGAAACAATAGTTTTCTTCTACACAAATAGAATGGAACTCACATACTCACTTTCAAGTAGTAGTGAAAGAACTTGTTTGGGACGCTCTGTACAAGCCTACAAGTCTGGTCTCGCTGGAGTGCCTTTCCCACAGTACAAAGGTATGCTGCACATCCAGCTCATCAGCTTTCTTTTCAAATATGACTAAAATTAGTGAAGAATGTTCCTGGCTAATCCAGTGCTCTACTAGCACAAAGATCACTGAAAGAACTTATATACAGAGTACGATCAAAAATGTAAATGACATATTTGTCAATAGTGAATGTAAAGACATATTGTCAATGATCTCTTTCAAAATACTCTCCCTTGCTTCAAACACACTTGTACCGTCATTCTTGCCACTTTCTGGAGCAGTTCCAGAAGTCTTCTTTCATGAGTGTCTAACTGCTCTGTCACAGATGCCTCAATAACCTAAAGCGATTCAAAACATACCTCTTAATGGCCATTGTGGCTCTGGGGAAGAGTCTGAAATTGCATAGTGCCAATGTAAAAATTAACTAATTTGTTTATTTATTTTAGAGATAGAGTCTCACTAAATTTTCCAGGTTGGATTCAAATTTGTAATCGTCCTGCCTCAGCCTCCCAGTGTGTTGGGATTATAGGCATGCGCTACCACACCTAGCTTCACATTCTTATCCTTAAATTGCCATCTACTTCTGTGTGTATATGCACCACTCGGTAACTGAATTCCCAAATCTATACTCTACTACTGTAGTTGACTGCAATTTATCAGTTTGAAAATAATCTTTCCCTTCCTGAGTCAATTCTACATCCTGACATTCTAACATAAGAGCAAATACCCCTTGTCCTTCAGTATCAATGGTCACTTAAAAAAAAAATCTGTGAAAAGAATTGTAACAAATATCTCACTTATCCATAGGTTAGAATACAGATTCAACCCAAAGAAACATTTTTTAAAAATCTCTCCAATCGTCTCAAGAAACTCTAGAGCTTGAAAGCTACTGACTTCTCCTAAGGTACAATTCTCAATACATTACCAGTTTAAAAGCACTAAAATAGCCAGGCATTAGCTGGGTGCTAGGGCACACATCTGTAATCCCAACACTTGAGAGGTTGAGGCAGACGTATTGCTTCGAGTTTGAGACTAGCATGAACTACACAGTCAGCTCAAGGCCACCCTGAACTATCTAGTGAGACCCTGTGTCCAAAAAAAAAAAGAGCAGCAAAATATATCCTAGCTTAGGAGAGGGGATAAGAAAAAAGTAATTAATTAAAAAATAAAAAATAATTAGTCTAAGGAGATAATAAAGACAGACTCTAGAATGTCATAAAGAATATAAAAATCGCTGCCATGGTGGCACATACCTGTAATCCCAGCACTTGAAAGGCTGAGGCAGGAAGATCACCATGAGTTTGAGGCCAGCCTTGGCTACACAGTGAGTATGAACTGCATAGCGAGACCCTACCTCAAAAAAACCAAAGAAAAAAGGGGGAAAAGAAAAGAAAGAAAATCTTAACCTCATTTCTCTAAAACATATAATCTCGCCAGGGTGATATCCTTTCAAAGGAGTGAGGGTAAAAAATGATTTGTGGTCCTCCAAAAGACAATCCTACACAAAACTCTTATTCTTTATTCTTTTTTTTTTTTTTTTTTTTTTTTTTTTTTTTGGTACTGGGGATTGAACTCACAACCTTGCCTTGCCAAGTAGGCGCTTATGCCACTGAGCTAAATACCCGGCAAAACTCTTATTCTTTAAGGTGAGACTTCATTAGGGGTTGGGGTGAGGTACTACTAAGAAAAAATTCTTAAAACACTCTTTAAACAGAACAATGACAACAAGATCAAGAAACACTGATCTAGAAAAGTTATTGAGTAGAACACTTCATAACTGTATCACCACCAGAAATTACTACAATATTTAATCTGCTTGTAATCATCCATAGGAAGATCTTCATTAGCTGTCTACTGTGCCAGATATGATAATCACTCACTTCCAACACCAAAGAAAAATTAAGTTACCACATAAGGTTGCAATTCTAAACCAACAGAAGAAAACTTGACCTTGAGAGTTTATTCAGCCCCTTGTATCCCTACGAGAAAGTTTCCGTGCACAAAGGTGAGCTGATCTGCAAGATGTTCAGAACATCCACCTTCCAGCAGGAAAGCTGCTGGGGCAGGACTTGGCATTGCACAATTCATTATGAAACCCAAATCACAATGTAAACAGACTGCATGCCAGAAAAAAAATTATATGAAAATTGTTCTACACGCAAAGATCAAATAGAAAATGAAGCAAGATTACATAGGCCTTGGGAAACAATATCACATACCGTGCATTTAAAGATGTAACAACAGAGCAGGGCGCAGTTGTTTGCTGAGGGAGTTGGACAGAGGCAGTAACTCGGGGCCTGCTGAACTAGAACTCATCAGTCTCCAGTAACTACAACTTCAAGCCTCCCTACTACCTGCAAACTGGAATCTAAAGAAGTCTGGGGATGGCAGGTCCAGCCTCTCTTACCTGGCCACTTTACGCTTGTCATGTGGGTGCAGCTTGGCTGCCATTTCTGGGTCCACCTGGCGTAGGCGGCTATGCAGCACATGGCTGTCCTCCTTTTCCAGCTCTGCTTTCCGGTCAACCACTTGCTCAGTACCTGCCTCAGGGGACTAGTGAATGAATTGGAGTAAATTTAATTCAACAATTCAATATGTACTGGGACAGCCTATGTGCCAGACACTTGACAAAGCTTTAGGTATACAGAATAGAGATGAATCAGATCTTGCCATACAGTAACAAACAGACCACCAACCAAAGCAATCCCAATGTGTTGTGGTAAGTGCCACTAGGCCATAGCAAAGAGGAAGGAAGACCTCCTGCAAAGGAAAGTACTCTGCTATCCTGTTTCTTTGCCCTAAATATAAACTGGTATGGTATGATATCTACTTTACTGTACGCAGGAAATCTATAGTTTTCCTACCAACATCACCATTTGCAAAGTCTGGCTCTAGGAAGTAACATCTCCATAGCAAAACTCATGATGGACATTTCTCTGACTTATATTATGTTGTGCTGCTAGCCAGGAAATGCTGAATCAGCCTAGCATACTGTTAACCTACAGGGAGATGCTAATTAATTCATACGGGAGTATTTTTCCCACACATAGTCCCTGCCTTTAGGCCAGCCCAAAGGAGCACACTTCATATATGGAGGAGATGGCATTTGCTCCAGAATAGTAAGTAAGAAAATTACAGTTGCTGAGTTTAAGCAATAAGCAAGAGTCAACCTTCCTCCCACTAAAATGAGCTGGCATGAAAGAGGAACCCATTTCTTTGGTGAGTTAGAAAGTGAACTAAACATACCTTAGTATTTACGAGAACTTTCCAGAGCAGAGATTCAACATAGTAATTGGTTCCTCCCACGATAATAGGAATTTTGTCTCGAGCAAATATATCTTCAATGTGAACATTAAGAACGATATCATGATATTTAATAGCAAGAAGAGAAACTTAACTCACTTGAGGAGAGTATTAGCAAGAAACTACATCTGCATGTCTGCAGAGCACAGAAAAAAGTGTAGAAACCAAAATGAAGGGATACCAGCCTTAAATGTTTCCCAAAAGTTCACAGAATCAGTTCCAATCAGTTCTTAGGGAACTTACATAAATTAGACAAATGTGTGAGACTAAGTCCTACCAGCTCTAGAACCTTTCAGGTCATGCTACTAAAAAGTCAAAAGTTTTATTAGTATTTCAAATCAGTTTAACAAGCATAAAGCCTCTCGTAGAACCAAGTACAGTACCAGCTGTTCAGGAAGCCATCCAGGTAAGCCATATGCCTTAGTGCAAGTAAGCCTCTATCATTATGTGGCAGCAGTACACATCTTAGCCACTTAAAAACTCATCGGATACCCTGAAAAGCACAAGTCCTGAGACAAATAGAATTCAATTACCACAATAGTAGCCCAAATAGTTCTTGGGCAAGTTATTTGACCTATCTGAGCTGAAATTTTCTCTCTTATAAAGTCTCCAAATTCTTATAAGCATTAAATATAACAATACAGTAGCCTAGGATTTAGCTCAGTGGCAAAACCCCTGCCTGGCAAGACCAAGGCCCTGAGTTCAACTCCTGGTACCCAAAAATAAATGAGTAAATAAATGTAACAATACACACAAACTCTCTACTTACAGTGCCTAAAAAATAGCAAGTACTGAATTTATTTGTACTTTAGCCACTACAGTTTTTAAATCCCTGCTATGCTGAGTCTTTGAATTCTCTCTCTCTCTTTTTTTTTTTTTTTTTTTGGTTTGGGTGATACTGGGCGTTGAATGCAGAGCCTTCATATCAAGCAATATCCTAGCCCTTTTTATTTTAAGTTTGAGACAGGATCTCACTAAATTGCTAAATTGCCAGGCTGGGCTTGAACTTGTGATTCTTCTTAGCTGGTCATAGTAGTGCACCCCTGCAATTCCAGCACTTGGGAGACTAAGGAAAAAGGATCACTGCAAATTCGAGGCCAGCCTGAACTACATAGTGAGACCTGTCTCAAAAAATAAAGAACTTGTGATCGTCCTGCCTCAAACTCCCAGTGCTGGGTTTACAGGCATGTACCACAATACTCAACTTGCATTTTTGTCTTTAGAATCTCTATTGAACAGGTAATTAATGGTTTTAACAAGGGTTTTATTTCTAAGAATAACTAATTGTAAAAAAGACTTTCAATATCTATTTAAATAATCACTGAATCATGCCCACAACCCCATTACTTAGCAGACTGAGGCAGGAAGATTGTGAGTTCAAGGCCAACCTAGGCTAAAAAGCAAATCCAAGAGCAGCCTGGGCTACGTAGCTAGACTCTGGAGAGGTGAGGCAGTGGGGAGGGAAGGAGGAGGGAGATGCACACAGATATAGACAGGGACAGGAAGAGACAAGACAATCATCTCCATATAGTACTCCTTTCTCTTACTAGCCAGTATCTGTGGGCACAGAAACAAATGACCTCTATCAGAAACCTATTAACCTTTGAGAGGTTGGGCTGGAGTAGAAAGAAAGATGTTACTAACCAAAGATCATAAAGAAAAAACATTGTCTATTTGTTTTAAAAAGAGAAATTCTTTATTCTCTCTACAAGTGTAGGGAATATGTAATTACAGAGGCAAATAAAACTTTGATTATATAACATAATCAACAAAGGAAAGGAGAGCAAGGAAACAAGGAAAAAAATGATGGAATGCTAGAAAGGCCAAGTGGAAAAAAAAGGGAAGAGAATGCAGCATACAGCATTATGTGTGCTATGCTTTAGATCTAGAATGCTGCCCCCCCCAGTCTCATGTGGTCAGAGGTGGAGCTTTCAGAAGGTGACTGGATCAGAGGTGGTATATTCATCAGTAGATTAATCCACAGATGAGTTCACAACTGAATGTGCTGTTAGAAGGGACCTGGTCAGAACAGGTGGATCACCACAGAAGTGACCTGGAAGGGTGTGTGTATGTTCCCAGCTCCTTCCTTCTCTCCATGCTTTCTGGCTGCCATGTGAGCTGCTTTCTTCAGCCTTGCCCTTCCAACACACCACCATGGACTGAACCCACTAAAACTGTGAGCCAGAAATAAACGTCTCCTCCTTTTAAGTTGCAGGTGTTGGGTATTCTGTTTTGTAACAAAATAGTGACTAAGATATGATGAAAAAAGTTTAACTGTTTTCTCTGGCCATGAAACTACTGTGATTCTGGACAAAACTCTTCTTTCTGGGCCTCAGTATCTTATATGTACATCTGTCAAATCAAAACCAAGAGAGGACCTCAGGAGTGAAGTAGAATGGCTGCTTAGTATATAGAGAGGCCCTGGTATGACACCAAATAAGGAAGGGAAGAAGAAAGGTGGGAACAGCACCAGAAGACTGACTTGAACCCAGATAGCTCCCAGATACTCAAGAGACTGAGGCAGGAGCTCAGCTGAGCCAGGAGTTGGAGACAGCCTCAGCAACAAAATGACTACACTGCAAATAAAACAAAACAAAACAGAAATGCTGACTAGACACTTAAGGTATTTTAGTCTTGATATCCTGATTCTAGGTTCTTACTAAAATTCACAAATCTGATCTATGAGTGATCTGAGGACAATATTCCCATTGTTTTTGTCCCTTGCACATCTTCACTAGCTCTCCATGAAACAATGAACTGTTTCATAGCTACAACTTACTTTTGGTGATATGTACTCATTTGCAAAGGACTTTCATATATATTATCTCATCTTATAAAACAGCCTTATAAAGTAGAGCTGAAGTTATTTGCATTTTAATCTACCCATTTAACAGGCCAAAAATTACCTCATTATTTTGATTTGCATGACCCTAACAGCAAGGTTAATAAACCTTTGTCATGTACATCACCATTTATATTTCTTCCTTTGTGAAATACTGCTCATGACCTTCAACTATTTTTTGCACTGATTCACAAGAGCTCTTCATATACTCAGAATATTAACCACTTGTATCTCTCTGTTACAAATATTTTCCTCTAGGTTTGCAGTCTGTTCTTAAATTGTGTTTATAGTGGACTATTTTCCTTCTCTTGATTTTTTTATCAAAAAATACTCCACACATAGAAAAGAACACATGTAAATTATGAAGTGTAATAATAAAACAAATGCGCATGAACCCAACATAAGGAGCAGAGTACTACAAATTCCTCTGAAGTTGCTTGTGCATCCATTCCCATTTACATCCCTAGTTTCCCCTCAAAGCGAATCACTATTTTGAACTTTTTTTTTTGGTACCGGGGGATTGAATTCATGACCTCACGCTTGTCAGGCAGCTACTGTGCTGCTGAGCTACATCCCTGACCCCTTGAACTTTTTTTTAGCCTCTTTTTCAACATTTCCTCACTTTTACATCATTACTGGTGTCTACGAATCCTTGCTAGGTATGGATAGCTAGTTTTCCCTGTTTTTTAACCTTTATGTATCATGCAATTACACTGACATGTCTGGAGTGGGACCCTCCAGGTTTAAGGGGATGCTGAGGCTGTGGTCTGAGGACAAGACAAGATGTAGTACTCTTTCAACAAACACAGGTCTGATGGTGATGCTACTTACTGGCAGGTAGGTTGCTGGTGCTCATTTAAAAGAAAGTATCACTAGAAAAAAACTTCTTACTTAGGTTAGGCCACTTACTAAGCCTAAGTGTTGATTTTCCTTAAGGATATCAGAGCAGTTGCCTTGTTCCTAAAGTCCACCACTGTGTAATTGGTCACGAGAGGATCCACGAAGCTGATCATGTGGTGCTGGCACATTCTCTGCTCTTGGGCAGAAACCTTGTTGGTGATGATGTCTAGTCCCTCATAGACCTAGGAGGGGAAAATTAATGTGAGAAAGTCATGTTTCCATAAAATGCACACTTGATGAGTAAGAAATGATGATCTATTCCCTTCCCCCTCACTGACTTCCTCCAGCCAAACACCTGTCTGACCCAAAGCACCAGGTCTACCCTGTGTTCTGAACACAGTCAGTTCACAAAACCTGAGTCACAGGAAGAAGAAAATAAAGCATTGGCTTTCTAAAAACTAAATAGTAGCTATTATTACTATAAGCCTGACTTAAGGGTATAGAAATCTGTACCCAAATCAGCTGAGAATATGGCTCAGTGGTAGAGTTCTAGTCAACTGAGAACTAATTCTGCGAGTTTAAAAGAAGTTTCCCTAGGCTTGAACTTTAAGCATTTAAAAATGAGCAGGCTGTTTTATTTATTTATCACAAGTCTACAGAAGGGTAATATTTTGCACTGCTCATAATTGTACTTCAAAATGCTTAGACATTTCTTAAAAGGCACTAAAAGTTTTTCAGAATTCATGTAAGATTGATTTAATTTTGTGTAGAAATGGCCTATTTACAAAAACACATATAAAATGCATACAGGCTTTGAAATCAGAACCCCTAGTTCTGCTGTACTCTGGTGGAAACACTGTTATCTATCCAAATTACTGCTTCAGGGGGTCAGCACATACAGTCTAAATATTCAGTGGCAAAATCCTGTCTGTGAGCTCTAGATCTGACAATTCAACTGAAAAGTTCAAGCGTACTTTGCCTAAATGCAAGGCTTCAGATGGAGAACAGATCTGAAAATACTAGTTTGAAAACAGGAATGAATGCTTTAGGATTAAATGTTCTTTCTATAATCACTGATTCTACATGGAGCATTGAATGAACAAATAATAAGTTCCACAGAGCCCACAAAGATGTTAAAAGCATTTTTTATCTCATGTTTCCCTTTAGTTATATGGGTATCAAATAAGTACAGCACAGTGTTATGATTAAGAGGAAGAAGCCTGGCGCCAGGCTGCCTCAGATCAATTCCTAGCTCTGCCACTGACTAGTTACTCGTTTTTAATCAGTTACTAATCTCTCCACACCTCAATCCCTCATCAGTACAATGGAGATAGTAGCAGCTACCTCAAAGGGTGGCTGTAAGGATTAAATAAGTTGCTACATGCAAAATACACTTTACCTGGCACACTAAATGCAACCAAGAGACACTACATCACTACCTGCAATATCACTCACAACCACTATTACTATCACAACACAACCAGAAAAGAAATTATTTTAGTGTCACTGTTTTCACACTTAAGCCTCTGTTCTCTTAGCTACTGAGGTTATTTACCAGAATATAAGCTACCTTTAAGAAGGTAAAATTGTTAAATAGCAAAATGGCACACAGGAAAATAATATATATATATATATATACATATATATACATATATATATATATAGAGAGAGAGAGAGAGAGAAAGCCATAGGGTGTGTGTGCTAGCTCTGTCCTTTATCTCATTTAAACTGTGCCCACGGCATTCTTACATCTGGATATTGACAGCCTCTTAAGTCACAGAGGTGTCCTTTTCTGTCTATCTCAAACAAGAAACATTCTTCTGCCACTGTAAAATGTGGTACAGTACATTATACATGTGTCTTTCATTGTGCAAATTAAAAAAACCAAAGGAAAAATGGAGTTCATAAGTGCGGTCCTCTCTCCCTCTCCGTTTTCCCACAGTCCTTAGTTGGCTCTTCAGTAGCTCAGAATTCCAGATGACTCGATGTTAAACAGTTTACAGCAACAACTCAACTTTACCAGCAGAGAATTTCTAAATGCTGTTAAGTATGTCACAGTAAAAAATGTTCTTGTTTTTTACACTGAGATTAATTTTTTTTTCCCCTTTTGTACTAAGGATCGAACTCGGGACCTCACATTTGCCAGGCAGGTGCTTTAAGCCACTGAGCTAAATTCCTGGCCCTACTGAGATTAATGTTAAGAAAATGCATAGCTGCAAATGTTCAGTTACTCACCCCTCTGAAATGTAATCATGCTATGAACATCTCTACTAGCATTCTGTCATCAGAGAACAAGACATCCTATGCTCTGCCTTTAGGTGTATGAGTCTAAAGAAGCCTTTAAACCAATATGTGCTACTTGCACAAAAATAGAAATGTGCATCAAAGGCCATCAATGTTGAACAGTCTTCCATGTGTTTACTGACCAGAAGAAGTACAAATGGTCAGTAAACATATGAAAGAATGTTCAACATTGATGGCCACTGAAATGCAAATTAAAATAACACTGTGATTCCACCTACCTAGAATGTCCATCATCAAGAAATCAAACAATGAAAGAAAGAAAGAAAGAAAGAAAGAAAGAAAGAAAGAAAGAAAAAAAGAAAGAAAGAAAGAAAGAAAGAAAAGCAATCAAACAATAACAAATGCTGGTGAGGCTTCAGGGAAAAAGGAACCCTTCTACACTGTTGGTGGGAGTGTAACCTAAGTACAACCCATTATGGAAATCAATATGGAGATTCCTCAAAAAACCAAAACTAGAAATTCCACTTGACCCAACTATTTCCTTTCTAGGACTCTTCCCCAAAGAGTTAAAGACATAGTACAGTGAGGCTGGGGATTTAGCTCAGCGGCATAAGCACCTGCCTTGCAAGCAGGCAGTTGTGAGTTTGATCCCTGGTACGGATAAAAAAGAAAAAGACAAAAAAAAAAAAAAAGACATAGTACAGTGATACATGTGTACCCATATTTATAGTAGCACAATCATGACAGCTATTTTTTTTTTTTTTTTGAGATAAGGTCTGCCTGAATTTACAACTATACTCCTCAGCCTCCTGAGCACTGAGATTGCAGGCATGAGCCACCATGCCTCACTATGCTGAATCTTAGAATCGGTCTATATGTCCATCAACAAATGAGTGGAGAAAGAAAATGTATTTATACACAGTAAAACATGCCAGACATGACAGCACATGCCTATAATCTCAGCACTCAGGAGGCTGAGCCAAGAGGATCACCATGAGTTTCCAGAATGGGCTATACAAATTAGGAGTTCAAAGGCAGTCTGCACTACATAATGAAATCCTGCCTCAAGAAAAACAAAAAGGATAAATTTGCTGTAGGAAATAGATGCACCTTAAAACTATAATGTTAAGTGAAATCAGGCATAGAAGCTTAAATATCACATGGTTTCTCTTATAAGAGAAAGCCAAAGTATAAATAAAATAAAAGGCAAAGTAAAAGATAGTAAGAACAATGGAAATAGCTGTTCTGCAAATAAGGAGACTAAGAGATGGAAAAAAGAAGAGAGAAGAAGAGAAGGGGAAAGTAAAAAGAACTAAGATATGTTATATACATGAAACAACCCTCCATCATGAATGAAATCATTATGTACTGCAAAGTTTACCATAAAAATAAAAATGTAGGCCAGAAAAAATTTAGGCCAGGCATTGTGATCTATACCTGTAATCCTCAAAGTTGGGAAGCTGAGGCAGGAGGATCACTGTGAGTTTGAGGCCAGCCTAGGTAACATAATGAATTCAAGATCAGCCTGAACTATACAGTAAGACTCAATCTTTTAAAAAAATAAATAAATAAAGGGCTGGGAGTTTAGCTCAGTGGTGTTAAGTGCTTGCTTGGCAAACATGAGGTCATGAGGTCATGAGTTTGATACCCAGCACCCAAAAAAAAAAAAAAAAAAAAAAATCTAGGGTAAAAAACAAACAACAAAATAAAACTTTTTTTTTTAAGCAACCCCAGAACTAGGCCAGGGATGTAGCTGAAAAATGAAGCTCTGGGTTCCATCTCCAGTACCACAAAGTAGAAGCAAAGAAGGGTACAGTGTCCTTGTGTTCAGTTCCCAGTGCCAGCAAAAAACAGAAACAAAAATACCTTTCTGACTGATGTGCCCAAAATGAGTGCAATTCACTGACTTGACTTTGAAGGCCAAGGTAGGGCAGCTCAGTGACCCGGAGGCTGCAAGAGCAGAAATATCATCCCAAAGCCATGGAGCAGGTTCTCAGCACCACTGTCTTCATGTCCACAATGGGAAAGCTGGCACCACTTTCCTGATGAAGCCTTGTGTCAATGCATAGAGTAGCCAGGACATGCTGTCCATCACAGAGAAACTAGAATCCTTTGCCTGCATTTATTACCTCGACCCATACAGACTGACAGAGATGAGTCAGCAATGTGGCACCAGACCACACTGGAGCAGCTGGGGTATGGGCAGCTGTGTTCTCAGCCATCCTTGTGGCCCACAGCTGGCTCATCTTGGTGATGCGGCAGCCATTCCTTCACCTGCTCTGGAGATCAGCCACACAAGTACCCTGACTTCACAGGACATGTGCACAATCCCATGTCCTGACACCTATGGGGGCACTAAATTAAGGCAAGTCTTACACCTGAGCCTCAGCTCTCCCAGTTGGAGCTTGCTGCTGCCTACCTGGACTTGCCCCTAGCCACCTCTTACCTCCGGCATTTCGTCTGTCACCTACAGGGGCTACCTTAGGGACTGGGAAAGGGGTCTGCTTCCATCAGCACTTCCTCCTTGTGCTGTCACACCTCACAGAACACACTTTGGCCAAGTGCAGCGGCATGCATCTGTAATCTCAGCACTTGGGAAACTGAATCAGGAGGATTGTGAGCTTATGAGGCCAGCCTAAGCTACATAGCAAGTTCTAGGTCACCCTGGATCACACAGCAGGACCTCTTATCTCAAAAATACAAAACAGGGCTTGGGATATAACTCAGCAGCACAATGCCTGCCTGGAGATCAGGCACAAGGTTCTCAGTTTGATTCCCAGTATAAAATTTAAAAGTACACTCTACAAATAAAACCTACCAGACTACAAAAACATAAAACTTAACAAAACAAAATGGTGCAATTGCTACGAAAAATACAGCAGTTCCTAAAAAAATAAAAAATAGAATTAACACATGGCACAGCAAATCTACTCTGAAAGCAGAGCTGGGTGCTATGGCACATGCTGGTAAACCTAGTTACTCAGGAGGCTGAGGCAAG